ATATTAACTTAGCTCCTGGGAACAGTTCTGTCCGCTTTATCTGTCTTAATTACTGGGTCTAATTAACATCAACAAACTAATGCCACTTAGTATGGCTGCAGTGCTTTTTTTGGCAAGCCTGGGGATCTGTGTTGGACAGGATAGGTACTCTAGTGGATTCTCATACTTGCAAAGCTCAGCCCTCCAGTTCCTACAGTATATAGCTGCTACTCTTATTAAAATCATTGTCTGTTATGCTGACCAAAGAACATTTCTAATTCCCCTCCTCCTCCAATCATGTCACATTCAATCATTAATTATCTGCCAAAGGGAGGTTCATTATTCACTTTAATTGTAATATCTCCTTGTCTTTGCCTTTAAAATCTCTCTGAATTGTCCAAGAGACTATGGGTGACCCTTTATTCCTCACATCTCTGGAAAAATGAGGATGTAATATGTATGTGGATGTGGACCTGCTGGAGAGAGTCCAGAGGAGGCCACAAAGATGATCAGAGGGCACTTCTCCTAGGAAGACAGGCTGAGAGAGTTGGCCTTTTTCAGCCTGGAGAAGACAAAGCTCCAGAGACCTTAGAGCAGCTTCCAGTGCCTAAAGGGGCCAACAAGAAAGCCGGTGAGGATCTTTTTACAAGGACATATAGGGATAGGAAATACAGGGAATGACTTTAAACTAAAAAAAGGTAGATTTTTATCAGCTATCAGGAAGACATGCTTCATTATGAGGGTGGTGAGGCACTGGAACAGGTTGCTCCATCCCCAGAGGTGTTGAAGGCCAGGTTGGAAAAGGCTTTGAGCAACCTATTCCAGTGGAAGGTGTCCCTGCTCACAGCAGGGGGGTTAGAGCTAGATGGTATTTAAGGTCCCTTCCAACCCAAACCATTCTGTGATTCTATCAAATGTGTGAATGCAGAATGAGATTCACCAAAATAAGAACCTTTCATGTTTTGATACCGATGAAACCCTGCATATTCTGAGGGATGCTTCCCTGTTCTGCCTTCCGTAACTGCAGCCTCACCCCCCACCCCGATCTTGGTAGTCCCCTCTAAGCCAAGGCTATATTGTGTCCTAAAGGGAACTCTGTAAAGCTGGAGTGAAAACAGAGCTGAAATCTGCCACCAAATGGGATGACTTTTCCCTGGGCAGCATTAGCGTTTTTGTTTTTTTTTCCTATGCTGTCTCTCTGTGCTCAGCATCAACTCACAGATCTGCCTCTTCTCTTTCAAATCACTTTATCAGTCTGTCATGAAAGAGGGTCTGTCAGAGAAACAGGAAGACGATACCTGCTTATGCATTGAAGGCAACAAACTCAAAACCAAACCCTCATTAAATGCATAAAATGGTGTAATGATTCTCTTGTTCTTCTCCTATTTTTATAAGACCTGACACTTCAGAAACAGTTCTGCAGGGCTGAGACTGTCTATTGCTGTATTTACACAGCAGCTAATTAATTTCTGGCCTGATCCTGGTCTTGACTTCTGACCACTACCAGAATTATATTATCCTGACAACAGCAATTAGAATGTTCTCTAACAGACCGAATAGCTCTGGACACTTGATCTGACCTATTCAGAAGTTAGCGATATGAAAGACCTGAAAAAAGACATTTCCGAGGACATAGAATAAAAAAAGATAATTTTGTAATCGCATGTCTAATTTCAGCTCATTACTCTCTCCTCATCTTTTAACCTTTATGGCTCCATACTTGGAAAGGAAAAGACTTCTTACCACATGAAGTCACTAACAAATCACTTGCACTGCTGGTGAAATTCTCTCCCTGTTCTTGTTTGTACCATAAATATAGATTAATTTGAGGACCAGACAGTACAAAAATATTAATATCCTATAAGTTCAGGTATAGAATATACTTGTGTAAGCTAAATGGCAAACAACTATGTATCATCTACCATGCAAATCACTGCTGCTTTATAAATAAAAAGAAGGGGCCAAATCTAATCAAGTCAGTTCTCAAGGACAAATATTCAATACTTTCTAAATGCAAAATCTATATACAAAAATAATCTGAAACTCCTTAGGTCAGAAAAGAATCGCAACTAAAGTGAACTTAATCTATTAAAGTTTGCATAAAACTTTTATTACTACACAAAGGCTAAGCGTTGTTATTTAATATGGAAGAAAATCTAGAATGAAATTATGAACCAATACCAGATTTTAGTACAGTTTTGTCTGCAAAGCACGTCAGCTTGTCACAGTGTAGCCCTGACCTCGGCAGCTACAGAGACCTGAACTGTGCTTTTGGATGTCCTTTCCTCCCTTATCCCAAAAGAAGCTGTTTCCCGAGACAGCAGCCACCCACCCTGTCACATACAACACATACAAATACGCTCCTTTGTACTCGGAGACATGAAGCTGCTGTAGCCTTTCCTAGCAAAAGGCCACTGCTGTGAAAGCTGCTGGTCCCTCTATCCTGTCCATGTCACACCAGCAGCCTCCCAGCTAGACTGTTCTGAGCAACAATCAAGGGAGAAGACAAGGAAGATGGGTGCAATGACGTCTGGTGCCTGGCTTACTGGGCCTGTTGGCTCCTGTTGCAAAGGTTAGCAGCACTGATGAAAAGCAGCAATCAGCCAGGTTGGACAAGGGTTTGAGCAACCTGTTCTAGTGGGAGGTGTCCCTGCCCATGGCAGGGGGTTGGAACTGGATGAGCTTTAAGGCTGCTTCCAACCCAAACCATTCTATGATTCTCCCCAGCAGCAGCTGCAGCTCCATACATCCCCTGGGCAGGTAGAGGAAGCATTCAGCTGTACATTGAGAGGATGTAGTCTGAACAGCCATTCTGAGCTGCTCTCAGGAAAAAAGAATGTAAACTGAATGTTCCATTATTGGTCTTCTGATAGAGGATGATGTTATGACATCCTCATTTCATGAATTTAAGATGATCAGAGTGCTGAATATACTCAAGAATATATAAGGTGGGAAAAACCAGAAACAGGATCTCGGATGAGTTAATCTTTTATCACATCAGCAATACTTCAGCAAAAAAAAATGTTGGACTATATCATCGTTTCTTGATTGAATGCAGAAAGAAATAAACTTCATATCACAAAAGATGCTGCTTCAGGAGATTAATACTAAATTGAATCAGGCAAAGATTGCAATCACAGCCCTGGACACTACGTATGAACAGATGGTAGCCTATGTTAGTAACTTGGAAGGCGAAACTGGCATAGCAGAATGCAATGCATTTTAATGAATTCTATTAAAACCATGAGGATTGAGCATGACCATATTTAAGGGCTTGCTCCAAATTTTGTAGAATTTGAATAAAAAAAACAAACCCAAAAACTTACTGCTATTGACAACTGGAGAATCAAACTCAGCTTGTAGAATATCTATGGAAAGAATTAATGATTTTAAAACCAGCAAAGCTAGAGAGAGGAACAGCATGCTGATCTATAATTTGTGACTAGGTTTACTGAGGTTCCTGTTTAGGAGTGAAACCATAGAAGGTGAAATTATGTGTACTTATAATAATTTATAATTAATTTCAATTTCCTCTAATTATTATGCATACACAGGAACTGTTTCACTACTGATTCCAGGAGTGACTACTGACAAACATGGCATTTAGTCTCCTCAGAAAGACAGTATCCACAGCGACACAGAGAAGAGACCATAAGCAGGGACTGGTTTGGAATAGACATAGAAAGTCAAGTGCCTCCTAAAGAGTCCTCTATATCTCTCTCTGCCAAATTAGGATACTACCGTTAACATTTGTTTTAAACTCCTGATCCAGCCCAACCATCCACACTTCAGATATTGCATAATTAGCTCTTAAGAGTTTCCTTTTCTATTCTTTACAACCAAGTAACAAGCCACAGCTTCATCTGAAGCTGCCTTTTGAATGATCAGCATGCTCTTACTTAGCAAACAGTGACTTATCTTTTGTGAATTATCTTGTTGCAGTACAGAATGTTCATAGTTCAATGGCTAAACCACTACAAGCACTGGGGTGCTCAGGGATGCCTGTGTGCAGAGCATAACTCTACATTCAAAGGCATCCTAGAGCAAATAATGTAAAAATTAATCTTCAGATATTCCTTTCTTTCTTTTTTTTTTTTTAAATCCTTTATGCCTGTTGAATTGCATCATTGTTTAAACTGAACCACACACTTTCTGTTCACCACTGGCAGACTTGCTCTGTTTTCAGTTGCAGGCTTAACTAAAGATTTGAGTTTTGCTTACTTAAAAATCACAGTTAGCAATTTCTGCTTCTGTGGTAGTAAAAAAAAAAAATAAAATTGGCTAGCACTATAAATCCTTTCTTTCGCTGAATAACACTTTTTATAAAAGGATAAGGAAAAATTCTATTTTGCTTTAAAAGAACCCAGTGCTTTATATTGTAATGCCTTTCACCTCATGTTGGGTTTGACCATGAGATTATAAACTGCACTAATGATTTACAACTGGTTTCTGATATACTTCTTTTTTTTTCCTTTTTGTAAATAAACACTGTAAAGATTGCACACATACAAGATGAACAGAATGGATATTATTACATATCTTACAATAAAGAAAACTTTTCTGATAAAATTCAGATCTGACAGATTTCAGAAATTCTCAAAAATTTTCCAAATTTCAGATTGGAAAATAAGATGATTTTCCAATTCATCTTAGCTATGCTCTTTATGCCTGATGGAAATCAAGATTCTCTTGCATTTCTCTCACATTGAAACTTGAAATCCATTTAACAGATAAAGAAAACTGGCAAACTTCAGCTAATGCCATCATTTATTATTCTGCAAAAATAAGTACGAGTAAGGGAGCGTTACAGTTCATTTGTGTCCTTCCACAGATAACTCAGACAGTCACAGTGCAATGATTTTCTTCCTTTAAAACTCTTTTTTTTTCCACTGGTTTATGAAACATAAAGAAGTACTCCAGGAAGCTCATACCACCCGCAGAAATCTGATGCCAGGTGTCATTTGCAGTGGAAATCAGTCTCTGTGAACTCTCTAGTGTAATTAATAGTTTGTTCTAATTACCTTCCAGAGCATATTTCATGTCCTGGGCAAACAGAGTCCACATGATTTCAGCACTGATTTTTCCCATGTTCAGCTCTTGAGGGAACCTGCAATCAATCACATTACATCAGTTCACCTGCTGCTAAGAATTATGCTTACTGCTGCACAGCAGAAAGGCAAATATCTCCACAAAATAATTCCCCTAGTATGCACTTAAGGTACACTTTGTGTTCTGTACAAGTATATGAACCATCCAAACGGAAATAAAAACTTCCCTTAGTCTAATGTCAGGGGCCTAAGCAATGGTTGAATGTTGTAATAATTCCCCCACATGACATTTCAAAATCAAGAAACATCCACCTATTTTGCAGATAACTCCTCAACTTTGGACAAATCAGATGGCTTATTAAAAACTTGAAATAGGTGGCACAGGTGTTCAGCAGCTATTGTTTCTTAATTCTCTTATTACGCTGGAAAATAGTGAAGCTGTCTCTTGCTGCTATACTGATTTATAGTAGTTGAATCCAATTCAGTGTTTGAAGACTTTCAAAAGGTAGAAAAATACATACTTTCAATTCAAAATTTTAGTTTTGGTATTATGCTTCATGTCACCTTTGAAAAAGAGGCCTTCTCAGCTGTTTCCTGCTGCTATCAAGTATTTTCCACAACTTATTCATAGAACCAAGCTGCTTCTTACTGTATGCAAAAGAAAAGCTCTAACCTTTCAGTCACCATCTTCACTGTTAGCTACTAGCAGAAGCTGACATTTTGATGACAGACATTGTATGTTTCACATTATACTTAAAGACAGTTCTTTGTCCTTACTGCAGGTGTGGGACTAAGATTAATGTGAGCAGTTCTCAGGGCACAGAAGCATACCACATGACACAGCTAAAGATCAGAAAGTACTGCACAGAACCTTTGAGCAGTAAACCAGTTGTTTATACTACAGTGGTGCAGCAAGAGCTATATGAATGCACTGGCACTTTACTATGAATATATAAAATCATCAAAGACCATATTCATAAGAAACACAGAGCTGTGTGGCTTTTGTCTTGAGTTTACTACACCACTTTAGACTAGCAGAGAATTTGATCCAAAGTATTTTGACCTTTTATTGAAGCACTGATCAAATTCAGAAAGTATTCTGTAATAATATTTGCAAAAATGTAAGAAATTTTAAAGGTCTTGTCCATGAAAGAATGAGAATAATGTGCAACTTTAAAGTGATAGCAATATAACCTAAGTATCATATTCTTTCCAGGGACATGTTTGACCCAGATCATATCTGCAAAGAAAAATTACTTACACAGCTCATTAGCTCTGCCGCATTCATATGAAATGATTGCTATCTCAGTCACTGATACACTTTCTTTATGCTAATGGCTGCAAAATTACAGAACTTTGATTAATTCTGTTAACACAAAATTAATTGTTATTCAAAAGGTCAAATGTTGATTTCTTTACCTGCACTACAGTCCAAGTGCTCTATTAGCACCAGACTTGAACTTTGAAGCTCTGTGGACAGTTGACCTAACACTTTGTCCATAATGCAAAGCTGGCTGTAACGGAAGGCTGAGTCTGATAAAAATGCATTTATTTGATTAATGCTATGTTTATGTGTCTATATTTTAACTTGTGAAAACGTATGCATGCGTAAACTGCAATTGTCTTTTCACTGTGTTGCTTGAACTACCGTAGTGTGACCCAGCATTATGATTCAACCCACCTGACTTTAATTTGGAACCTGAAATTTACACCCAGAGATACCCATTTCTATTTCCCTGAGAAATATAAACTGATGAAATATAATCATCAACTGGACATACCAATGAAATCCTTCTATGCAATGCAGAAGATGCGGATATTTGCAATTTTATCATTACATGGGTACATTTTTGTATCCAGCCCTGCAGGGTTGACTGCCATTCCCATATACCTTATTTATTTTTTTCCAACACAGTGGCCTCTTAGCAGGAGGTCACTGTGACAAAAATGATCATACAACAGAAAGACCGCTGTGTTTTAGTACTTTTCTCATGCAATTAGTTTACCTCATAGTAGCGATCCTACCTGTAAGGTGTACTCGTCAGAGACTCTAATAATAGAATATTAATTTGTCCAAAATTAGTAATATAATGTGGACAGTTCAGCCAGTGAAATTGATTTAACATGTTACTAAACTATTACCTAATATGCCTGTAGATCTCACTGTGCTGTGATATTACTCATAAAATGCACTTTTCCAAGCGTTAGCATCACAGAGCTTACCATGGTTCAGCTATTCTTTTTTTCTATAGAAGTTTCCTACAATTTAATAGTCTAAGTTCCAGATAACTAATCCTGATTCAGAAAGTAAAACTAATTGCTTATCCCATTATAACAACAGAACTCTGGCTTCAGCACTATTCCATCCCCTTTTCCATACAATGATACCATTGCTTTCCCACTTTTTGCATTTATGAACAATACTCATATCAGAGCTGGTAGTAAGTGTGGGGAAGTGAATCTGGTATGGATATGCTGTGAAACACTCTTGCCACAATTTTCCTTAGAGACAGACAGCTTTAAGCACATTTACTTCAATTTGGTTACTCATATTTCTAGGATTACTCATGTAATAATAATATATAATTTATTATTTGTATTACAGCAGTGCTTAGAGGCTTATGGTATATTTAAGAAATTACTATGCAGGAACCTTAAAGTATGCAATAGAAAATCACACTCTCAAAACTCACAGTTTAAAGAGACAAGACAGAGAATGGGGAAGATGACAAAGTAGAAGTGTCTTGCTCAAGATTTTATGACAGGTGAATGTCAGTCAGCAAGAGAATATAAGCTTTTGAATCTTCCTTCTGAGTTCTCCTCCCACCCAGGACAGGATTCTAGTTTGCATAATATGCATATATACATAAAAATAGATATACACATACTATGACATGAATAGTCAAATAAAATGTGAAACACATAAGAATAGAAAATTTCAGGCGATCAATCAAAATCTGGTACTTATCTCCAAGTATGTGACTCTCAAAAGTCGTAGTCTTCCCCCATTCCCTGCTTGCACATTGTCAGAGAGATGCATTTAATACCCTGTCAGACATATCTGACTAAAGTGACAGGCTGAATTACCAGCCTCATGAGAAATGCTCATTTTTCATGAATGTATACAATAAACACTAATGTAAACTGCAGAGCAGAACATGATTTTATTATGCCTGTAATTCTTCAATATTAAACTGTTCAGATGGTTTTGCTTCTAAGTATCCTGTTAATTTTCTAATTCTAACACCTATACACCTATAGGTAAAGAAGAAGGAAAAGAGTCTAGGCTTGACATTTGCACCATCATTAAAACTGCTTGGAGGACCCTAAAAATAGTATTGTAAAAAGGAAGACAGTTTCTCATAAATTCCATGTTATATTATATTGCTTCCTGACTTCATGTTATAATGCTAAAATCAGCACTTGACAACTGTAAGTAGAACTTTCAATTTGTACTATGAATAGTTCCAGCACATCTTGAGTTTGGTTCCAAATGTCATAAGCAGCAGTAACATTTTTTCAACTGTAATATATCTTTCTGGCTAAGAATAATGTCAGAAGCAGCTATATAATTCTTTTTACTTATCCTAAAAGTGACTCTCACATAGAATACTCAGACACTGCTCAAGAAAGTCCTGTCACAGTTCACAGAAGTCACCACTGACTTATCTACATTTTTACCACAGCTGAAGGCAAATTCTGACATATATAAAAATACAAACACAGCTGAAAGCAGAAAAAATAGTCAAAGCATTAAAATATAAAGAAGAAACAAGTCCCCCCAAAGTGTCTTTTAAATTCACCAGATTAAAAAAATTCACAGGCAAATTCATCACAGACTCAGGTAATTACAACACAGAAGTTCTCTGATTCTCTGACAACAAAGGCAACAATTAGAATCACGTGCATGACTGATTCTCCTTTTCTTACTAAGGTTTGATATAGGGAAACCTTATCTACAGATAACTCAATGAGAAAACATCCTTCATGGAAGGACTGAAATTATTATTAAATTCCAAACAAGTTATTACAGAGAGCTCAAGGATTTCTTAGCATGATTTATTGCTGTGCACAAGATGTTAATAGATGCTAAAGCTGGGGCTTGGATTCAAAAGCTAATCCAAATAAAGCCAAAGGGTATACCAAGCACTCTGATAAGATCAAGAGATCAAGTCTCCTCATACTGTAAAAAGAGCTGGACTGCATAAGAAACTAGTCAATGGTTAGTCAGAACTAGGTTGGATAGTCTAGGGTTTATTTTTGCAAATCGAAGACTGAGATACCATCTCTAAATTGCATAAGCTGCAGACAGAAATAGCCTAAGTAGCTTTAAAATGCACAGTGACAAAAATAGAAGACAAGGAGCTTACTGGGTACCATACTTCAGCATAATGGCTCATGTGGTCATTCTGAGAAAGGTGATGGCTAGTATTTCTGCTGTAATAAAGGAACAAAGAATCTAGGTATATCTTTATGTAAACAAGTGCTGACTCCTATCACACACATCTTACCTAATGAAAACAGTATTTCATGTTCCTGGATTTCAGATTAAAGTCTGGGCAAGAAAAGGACAAATGTATTTCTCTTTTCCCTAACATCTAACTGTACTCCAGACATGCAATTACTGGAGTAAATCCCCAGTCCTCCCTCAGGTCAAACTCTTTGAAAGAAACCCTGGAAAGAAATCTGGGACTTCTTTGCACTTTGCAAAATCTTTTACCCCTCTCATGGGAAGATGTATTTGAAGGACTAGATGAGACATGTATTTGTTAGAAAAAAAGTACGAATCCCAGAATTTCTTCATCAAGTTGGAGGAAGGACAGCTTTCAGCATTCATATGAGTATTAGTTTATATAAAGGCCTTTTCCTTTTGAGATAACTTGTTCTAAAAGGACATGGTAGCTATGAACTATACTCAAAAGCAGAGATGCTGTAACTCTGGAAGCTGTAAAGCAGCACAGAAAGGAGATACCCTCCTTCCAGTCTTCTGCATTATGAGTATCTGCCAAATAGTTATTATTAAGCTCATTTTGCTGTAATTTGGTTAATCCCTCATCATCATGGTAATGAAGCACAAGTGTATCAGTCTACACATGCCATCCTTTTGTGCACTGTTAAGCCTGGGATCTAAGACCTATACATAATAGAAAATCTGGGTTTCTTTCCTGTGTATGAATCCATACAAGAATTTGCATTTTCTGTTGTCATGGAGCCAATCTTCTTTTTGTTCCCTGTGTCTAAGCACTTATTAAAATATGTGTTTTCCTAATTTGTATAAATCAATATAGTGTTCAATATAGTGTTTAGGGGCTACATGTATACTTAACTCCAAGCTGTCTCTGAAATTCCTTTCTAAAACTCATGCTAGTTTCCATGCTTATAACAATTAGAGACTGATGGGTATTACACAGCTATCAGTTATGGGTATTATGAAACTATCATAGTTATTGTTGCAGCGTTATTGTATGCAAGAAGCTAACAAAGCTTAACACACAACAGAAGCATACAAAATTTTCCACATGCTGACGACGAAATGGTAATAGCAGCAGCCAACTTATTAAAGGGAAGGGGTAATCAAAGGTAAAATTCTACAGCATCTATATAAGTAAGGAATTTTGCATTATTTATATCACCTTATTTTTCAGTAAAAAGACTTTTCCTCTGCAGACTATTTCAGAATTTGGTCCCCAAGCAGCAAAACATTGAGAGAAATTTCCCATGCAAATCTCTACATATTACATTTTCTAACTTTTGTAAAAGCCACACATTTTCACATTTCTCAGTGAAGTAAGAGGACTGCCAGGGGAGTACTCTATTAATCATTTTGTTTCCTCTTGCTACAATTATTTCTCTCTCATAGGCCATAGTTTTCCCAATTTCTCTATTGTTCTTGGAGCAATACTATAACATTTCAGTTTATCCAAAGCATGGCTATTAAAATCACCTTCCCCATTTGCATGACAGTCTCTAATCCTCAACTTGTATGTCAGCCATACAATACTATTGATGGAACTTCTTGACAAACAGAATATAGTAGGTTTTCATGGGAAATAAATTAACCATTAGGTTGTCCATACATGATAATTTCCTTCTATTTCCCAAAATACTAAACTGCATATAAAAGGTATCCAATTATAAATGTCTTCCCTTTGTTGATTTCAATTAAGCCAGAATATAGTGAAAACTGTTCGAACTGGGTAGCTCTAACAAAGTGCTATATATAAAACCACAGAGCAATGGAGTGAAATTGAACTGAGCTTGAAAACAAGAAGAGCCAGTGTATGAAGCAAACCATAAATAATTCCTGAAAGCATTTATTCTAGATAGTACTGCATGTCTCCAGTTCAATCCTATCCTGAAAATGAAAAATGCTTTTTCTAAATTTATGGTGCTAAATATTCAGTTTGCTACTTTTAAGAATACTGAAGTCCCTGAAACTCAGATTTCAAACCCTGAAACTGCCAGCACAATCTCAGAATAGTTTATATTCCTTAAATTTGTATTACAACACCACACATGACTATTCTGAGTATATGTGCTGTACAATTAAAGAGAAAGCTTTTTACTCAAGATGTACAGAGGCACAAAGTTGAGATCTTGATTTCCAAATACACAAGCGTATTTCAGTTGATGATTTTGTTCTTGATTTGTTGTTCCTATAAGTGAACAGATATTTTGTTTTGATAGCATTTTTTTCTGCCTCACAGTATGTACAATGTGTGTACAAGTACTGGGAAGTCCTGGATTTGCTTGTGAATCAGGTTCCAATCACATTTTACATTGTTTTAACTAGTAGAATGAGAATTCTACAACTTAAGTACCAGACGTCATGCTTTCCCTTCAAACTTTTCAATTTTCTTATGTCATATAATAACTGCAGGTTGTTCATATAACTCCCACTGAATGGTCTGGTATGGTCTTTCAGTTGCTGCAATATTTTCTGAGGCGAATCATGTCATGTTTCATCTGGATTTGTAATCCAATACAGTTCAAGCTGCTCTATCACAGCATCTTTTTTGCCTCCAAGGCAGATATAAAAATAGGGTTTCCAAAACTGGTTAAGAAAAAAAAATCCTGAGTAATATTATACCATTATGAAAAACCCTATCAGAATGCTTGGATCCCTCCTGGGGATCTACAGTAACCTCATTTCTACACCAGGATTCAAATGGATATAGGTCTGAATGTTCCACTGAGACACTGCAAGGCCATGTAATTCTAATGAGGTGTCACAGTTTTCCATTATTCTTATGCATTCAACTTACATTTTCCTTCCATCAATTTCCTTTTCTGAGGCAAGCAAGGGGAAAAGGCTGTCATTTTTCTCAGCAGCTTTTACATGCTTTTGTGTTAGGAGAAGCATCTCTTTTAAAATGATCTATACAAAGCAACTCTGAACAGTTTTTCAAGGTTTTCCACCCACAGCCTCTTCATCTCTTGCTCCTCATTTCTCCTGTTTCTCAAAGACACTTTCTTCCCTGCGTTCACCCTTAAAAAATGACAGTGAAAATGGGAAAGAAGTCACACACATGAACTCTCTCCCTTAATCTGTCCCAGCTCCAGCCACTCCTGATCCTCTTTTCACTCATTACACAATCACTCAGCTGTACTCCAGAGAAACTCCTAATCCTGTCAGAGGAACTCTGTTATAGATCCCTTTTCTTTCTCCCTCATATTTGCCTAACTATACAGCTAGACCAATTTTTAGGATACTTAACCCCAATTACTCCTGTTTCATTTCAGTGAAGAAATTATTAAGAAGTGTATTTGTTATACAGAGAATTGATCTTTCACTAATAGAGGAACTTCACACTAAGTGGCATAAATAGAGTAAACAGGAAAAAGTTCTTCCCACTGTAGGGTAAGAATTTGTTCCTTACTAAGATAACTGCAGAAAATTACTGAACAAAGAGGTATTTATTATCCAGGACTGAAATAATCCTTCCTTAATTCAAAGGAAAGGAAGAAATCAGAAGGCAATAAAATCTCTTCCAACTTCTGGTTATCACCAGGAAGTTTCATTCATAATTATACTTTGGGCTACAGAGTGTCCTTCAGTGTCTATGATATTTTGGCTGAAAGAAAAAGACCCATTCTCGCTCTCCTTCAGACCATTCGATTAAATGCCATTGCAGACACCTCTATGAATTGTTTTGCCATAATACAGAAGTAAATTTAAATTTTAACTTTTCCATAAATCACCACAGCTAAACTATGCCCAGATTTTCTACAGTCTCTCTGTAAAATAGCTCCAAAGAGCTAAAAGAACTAAAAATCTTCCCTAGGCTCTTGTGCCACATTTCAATTAGTGCAACACCAGTTTACTCAGCCTTAATATATAAGAATTATTATAATTAATAATTATTATAATATAATAATAATTATATAATAATGTTCCTCTGCACTACTCCTGTACATTTCATTTTCAAAATCCAGCACTCTATCTCCTCTTTCTGTGTTTATTGATTGTCTCTCTCTTCTCTACTAGTAAATCAATGATAAGTTATTTGATTTGTCTTGGTTATTGATTGTACTTCCCTTATCTGTTACATCTTCAATTCTGAGTAGTCAACTTCCACCTAAATCCAGGATATTGATCTCCATTTTATAAATTTTCAAATCCACGTGGCTAAGCTTTCTCTTGAGCCAGTCAAAAAAGTGGAGAGGGTATTTTGTGAAGTTCATTATTCTTTTACAAATACTAATCCCTAAAACTCTATAATAATGCCTTGATAAGTCTCAGCATGGTTTGAACATCTTCTGTGCCAAGATAATATCATAACATTAATACTGTCATGCTATTTCACTAATCTTTCCCTTCTGTTTATCCATTTAGTTCTCTTGCGTAATATTTCGCTCCTTAGCTTTTTGGGATGGTTCATATACAATGTCTTTAATGTTCCTAAACCAAAAGGTTCTCTTTCCATGAACAGAGCAGTAAGTCTTCATCAAACAGTGTCAATGTTATACTCTGTATTTTTACAAATTTCTAGACTATATTTAAAATAAAACTACTGATCCAAGTGCATTTCCTGTCCTTATTTTAATAAACCCATTACCCTTAATTTTTAGGAGGAAAGTAATTACTTACTGGTTCAGGACAGGTGTATATGCTGTTTTATCTTCATCTATGATGGTGATCATCAGAGTAATAAGCTGCACCCAGAAATCCAAATTCTTTGTTGTTGGTCCCTGTTCTTCTTTAGGAACTTCTTGCTTCTTACCCTGTTAAAACAAGATGGAATATATTTTATACTAGTGAAATTAGATAAAATATTCTGGAATTTCCAACAACAGATTCTTTCTTACTTGGTTGGAAAAAATGGCATATTAAGAATCTTCAGAAATTTTGCACACAGACTGTCTATCCAATTTAGAGTAGATTGTGTGACATACTGTGTCAGCCGTATATAAAAAAACATATGAAGTGCACAGACAGCCACATCAGCAATGAAGATGAACAGAACCTTGTTTTTTTAGTGCATTTCCACGCTTTAATTAAATACATTCTTAAATGCATTTAAGTGCAGGTAAAATGGTCTGCTGAGGCCAAATGTTTGTATCCTACACAATAAATACTGATCATATCAGTGAGAAGGAACGTTTCTTGTTTTCTTTTGGATTATACACTGAAGTTACTTGGCCTAACAGCTGTTGTGCTGTTTGCTTTAAATGAAGAAGCAGTTGAATTTCCATTTACTTTTTAATAGCCAAAATGACAAAGGCTATTGCCCAAATTATTCTGCAGAGGTTTCCCAGGGACTCACAGATTTACTGGCAGAACCACAAAGTGTACATTTAAGAGAGGCAGAGGAAAACATCACAAAGTAGGAGTGGGAAAAAATAAAATATTTGGACACATAAAAATACTAGAAAATGGTACATAGGGACGTCCAAAGGAGAGGCTTGTGAAGGTATTGCTTTGCCAAGGATTTTAAACATATGAGCAAAACTAATCAATATGTTATTTGATTCCTTTTTTATCCACAGAAAGGCAATTCTTGTATACTTCTTGTATGTTAAGAGGACTGCAACCAGTTTCACATCCACATCAGAGAACCTGAGATGCCCCATTCTGTAATAATCACAAGGAAGGACATGGCTTATCAACATGGCTCTCCAGTCATAAATTAAAAGTTGGTAAGTATAGCAGTGCTTTTTATTGCTACTGACTAAAAGTCTGCTTTTTGCACCTCTTTACAGTTATAAATATGTATTAACATTCAACACTTACCAACTTCTATTGAGAATTTCATGCTTTTTAGTCTCCCTAAAATATTCATTTATAGCTATATTTTGTCTTCACACATAAATTTTGATTTATGAATTCTTAGTATTTTTCAGTTCTCTTGGCAGAAGGATCAGATTCCTTATCAATGTCAAATAAATAACTTCACTGCAGAACCAAATATGAAAACAAATGCTTTTGTTTCTGTATGGACACTCACATACACACATAACTTCTGCCAAGCAGAGGTACGTCTGTCTGCACATGCTCTTCAGCACAACTGTCAGAGATAGAAAGGGGTCACCCAGCTAGCAAGTCAGAAAATAAACATGCCTATTATGCTGCAATTTTAAATATATGTTGACTGTATGTACAAACATACCTTTATAGTTCAAACACGACCACTTCAATGAACCCCATCTCTCTTTGAATAGACGACTCTAGTCAGTCTCATAGTGAATTAATTGTTATCTTAGCCTCAATTAACTTTTATCTACTAACAGCATTTAGAATGGCAGAAAGGGAATTTCAACAACACTTAACTGAAACTGCTTTTGCGGTCACTGTGGAATCATTTTGGAAAAGTATCATTAATCACACTGCTACATACTCAGCTGATCTGCAGATGCTACAGCTCCAGTGTCTAAAGGAACTTAAATAAAGGTGAGGCTCAGAAGCAATTAAAATGGATGGTGTGACTAGTACCACCAGCAATTGACAAACACACATGCAAACAAGAGTGTTTTTCAAAACAGAAATTAATATTTGACCGTTAATGTCACCCTGGTGTACATTTCACTTTTATTAAAAGACATTCTTTGCATAGCAAAGATTTATTTTTAGTATACCATTTCTCTCAGAAGCTAGTGAATGAAACCAAACCAACTGAAAGGCAGTTGTAGAAGACAAAGCCAGTTCCCATTTAGTTCAGCATCTTACCCAAGAACCGTATTTCACAGAAATCAATATGATCTTTTTGGAAAAACAAAACCCAAACTGAAACAGAGAAGGAATTTTTAAAGTAGTCTCACATTAAAAGATGCAGTTTCACGCACTGAAATGGAAGTGCATACTCTTCCCATTCCTTATCCTAAAAATCTAACTGGTTAGAAATGCTTGGAATCATTTAAGTTGTTCTTACATAAATTGCTATTATTGCTGGCATTGTTATTAGTTTTATATGATTTCTGACAACAGACACCTTCACAGAAGCATTATACTGAGGTAAAAAAACGTTGGCAGTTTGATTACATTGACTAGTTGCAAACTTGCAAAACCAACAGAAGAAAGTTCCACCTTGGAATAAAAATCAACTTGAAAGAGAGTTATTTTCATTTAAAAAAAAAATCTGAGAGAAGAAATGTTTTGATTGGCTTGAAAATGTTTCTACTAGCAGAACTGAGAGGCACAGTAAACCGCATAACAGTGTAGAAAAACTGAGTGGGAGGACAGCATCATACGATTATTATTTAATACTTTCTGAATGAAACACAATTTTAGAGGCACAAATATTTAATTTCTCTACTGTTTTGCTGAAAAATAGGGCTTCTCCTGGGCTAAACACTATTGCACAATTTTATTTCCCACTTCATACTGTTGAATGTGTTTGGAGATCACAGATTGCACACTTCATGATTCAATTCTTATAGTATTTCTATAAGAAATTAATAATCTACCACATTTTTTACCTTTCTATTAATGAAACAGAGATACACCTTCAGAAGCAACCAAATGCCTTGGGTTCCCAAATTCCAGCTGAAAAATTGACCAGATACTTACATTTAAGTACAGCAAATCTAAGCTCTAAGAAGGGATACATCACAAGGTAAAAGCACTGTGTTGCTATGGCTGCCTAACACCTGGCTCCAGAACTACTTAGTTAGTTGCTAAGGTCTTCTGTGACAACACACAGAGCTGACAAAAGGAAAGGTCTCCAAAATAAGGTAGAATTTCAATACTATTCTGCAGAGCAGGTGTCAAACAGAGTGTATCCCAGTGTTTTTTTTCTCTCATACTGGCGCTGCCAGTCATGAAATGATTTGTACTGATCAAGAACTCTTCAGAGAACAGAAAGAGCTTGATTTGCATGTCATTGGTTTCACCCAGTGGAGAAGACTGCAAAAAGAATTACTGAAGGGACTTTGGTCATTGTGAGTGTCAGCCAAGACTTAAGATTATTTTTTTGTTTTCTTGAGAAAACAGAAACAGTGACATATTTTTAGCTGACTCAGAAAGCTTCCAAAATGCTTCCAAACCTACTTTTTCAAAGCATTCTTATTTGCAATACACAGCAGCTAACTCTTCACTCAGATCAGTGTTAATTAAAGAGGAAATACTACATCTGCTGTATAAGGAATTAAGTAGTTCCCCATCAAAGTGCTTTGTCTCAAATGAGGACAGTAATATACGAGTCAGTAAGACTGTCAAGATGTCATGTTTTACTATCTGTATTGCTTTTTTTTTTTGACACTAGCTGTTCTTCGCATTCTGGTGTGAAACTAGTATGACACGTTTGCATACTGTCAGCATTTACCATGCTTCACTCCAGGAAATAGAGCTGCTCCCCAGGGGTGATATTTTGTTGAAAGATATTTGCTTTTTAACAGTGATTGTCTCTCTGACACAAAGATAGAGAGTAATAAAATGAGGCAGTGGGGACTCCTGAGCATATTTTGCAGTTTACTCGTTACTTTTCTTATAGTGATAGATTTCTCAAAATGCCAGCTTGAGCACCCTCAATTTCATCACTGTCTGATTTTGGGCTGAAAATAGAACAATACATTCACACACATTCCGACATTGAATATATTTTCTAGAAATACTGTGGCAGGCATCTCCGAGAATTCTGGTTGCAGCAGGTGGTTAACATGAGTTACAAAGATAGCATATATAACATGCAGGAACCTACCACTATAGGCCAAGATGGAAATACTACTGTGTAAGTAGACTGTGTTGGGTTCCACCTTTTCATAACATCATCCACAACATGATTCAGGAAAGAAATGAGCCATGAGGACAACAGCTGCCAGTCTTTCCCCCGAGTGAGAGCAGGTGGTGACCTACATATGAACCACTTCTTGTTGCTTTGGGGTTCATCCATTTCGGTTCTCACTACTCATAGCTCAAATCTCAGCTGTGCAGCTAAAACATGAATGTCCTGTGCTGCACCACCATGAATGGTGATGAACTCCTTTCCTCCCTCTGAGAGGAGGAGGCCTCACCTGAAGGGGACATAAGCTAAGAGAATAGTTAATGAAGAAGGCTTGAGGGTGGAATCTGGTGTAGTCTGACTATGGGGTTTGGCTAGAAGGTTAATGAAATGTTAATTACAAGATTGGTTACTGCTTCATTATTATAACAGTGTTACCACAAGCCAGTCTGCAGCTCCCCTGGATTCACTGGAAACCTTCAAAGCTATAGGTTCCAACAGCTGTATGCTCAGCTTTTCCTAAAATTAAACGCACATACAGATACAATGGTAGCAAACTGTATGAGGATAATTAAAAGGCAGTTTACGTGTACAAACTTAGAGTTGATGCAAAATTTAGCTGGTAATATTATCTATTAAAGCTAGATTAATTAGATTATGTTTCTCAGAACTGCCTCCCACCTGCTGTGAAACAAAGTTTTACTATCTGTTATTAAGTTCATATATGATTGTTGTTCGATTACTGTTATTGATATTTTCAGTGTGGTCTATTTATCTTAATTTTAAATGTCGCTTTTTGCACATTTTCACTAAAATTTCTTGTACTTCCTAGCGACTGTAACTATAGACACTTGTCTGCTTACAGCTTCTACATACAAACTCACCCACTGGAAATCTTGCTGAAAGAGAATAGAAGCAGCATATAAATATAGTGAAATGCAGTTAATTCAGTTTTCCAATGGAGTGAATATCTGTGGATTTATTTATTTATTTATTTATTTCAGGACATACTGACTATTATTGAGCTGCGTAAGAGAAAACCAAAACAATAACATTGCCCATCCTGCTCAAAAATAAACAAACAAAAAATTGGAGATGCATTACTTTAAAACTGTTTTACATTCTCTACCAAACACTAAGGCTATAATATCCCTGCAATTTTAAACCATCTACTAAAATAGACTAAAAACTACTTTATGGAGTCATAGAAAACAGTAGAAAAAATTTTTTATACAGATAAGCATTTGCAGATATCATAATGCTGTGCAGAAGTAAGATTACTTCACTTTTAACTGCTTACTAAAATGGATATCATCTGCTGAGAAACTCTGCACCCAGCCTAGCAACAGCTCATATTATATTTAACAGACAAAATCAACTTGCTGCAGAGTAAATGGTAAATGTTAGCAGGAAAACAGAACACCTTATGAGACAAGCAGATGTGATGTCTGGAGCTGCTGCTTCCTCCTTATTGTTATACTGCCACTCAGGTTACAATATAATCTGTTGAAGAATAAACACTCATATAAGCACTTGAGCATGAAGTGCCTGTGAGTGCTGGTGAGAAACACTTATGTTCAAAGCTTGGGAGACAAAGGTAAGTTCTTTCATGTAACAGGAATCCAACATTAGAAAATAAATTCTCGTTTCAGAAGTGTTGAATATATAGCATATACTGCCTCTCCCGAAATATAGAAATTCATATTTTGGATTCAAGTGAAATGTGCTTTCAGATAAAATTTAATGTCTTAGGTATCACGTAGTATGACTGTTCTTATCTATTAGATACTACACAGCAAATATGCAAATACTTTTCACAACTGGAATAGTCATTGAAATACAATTTTTCTGGTGTACCACCCAGGAGGCAAAAGTAAAGAACAGGTAACGTGATAAAGCAGTGATGCTCATTTTTGACAGCTGTATAATTTTGCAGGTAAAATTCTTAATTGTAACATTAGTTATAGCATAAACGCTGGCCATACTGTAGATAAATAAAAAAATAATAAACCATTCTCTAATTCTACAATTCTAATAGTTGTCAAGGCTTTTGCACAGCATTTGGAATACAACAAATGCTATAATTATTTTGCATTGACAGTTTGGCCTGATGGACTAATATCAAGAAAAGTTACAGAATTATCATGTGCTTTCTTGAAGCAGCTATTTGCTCGGATCCAAGTATGCCTCACAGGTGTTAAAATATAAGGCTAGAAAGACAATCTATCATTTTTAACAAATTATAATTCTTCTTTTCTAAAGCTACCAAAATGAAATATTAGATTAAAAAAAATAATTTCCAATTACGGATCCTAAATGAACAGTAATCAATCTAATGTTATCTTCTCTAAAGCCACTGGACAACTTTATAGTCATGTCCAATGTGATGACTAAATTATGAGTTAGCATGTTCATTTTGAAACTCAGCTTGTTAAACATTTTAGAGTTCCTAGCCATCTGTGGGTTTACTTATGAAACATTGCCCCTTCTCACACAAATAAAATGAAAATAACCTGAGTGCTTTGGTATGAAGGACACTGAAATGCTTTGTATTTACCTACGGTAAATTAACAATAACAAATGAGCAATAGCATGAAAGAAGTCAATATATGCCTTACCTGATCCACTAACTGGGAGTACAGATCATAGCAATTGTCAAAAATGTATTTATAAGTTGAGTCCAGGCAGGCTCTTACACAATCCTTCACCACAGTACTGGCTCGAGGTGGACTCTGCAATTCAAGTACCTAATAAAGTATTTCAGAAATGACAGAATATCAGAATTAGATTGAACACAAAAAAATCCAAGTGTTGCAATGAATGTAGTTCTGTAATGCGGGAATGAAAAGTGTTGAAATATAACGGTAAAAATATTTATGATTGCATTGACTTAAGGGGAACAGTTTAAAGACATTTTAAAACACATTCTTAAACAAGTAGATTGTATCACTGTTTTATTTTTATGAAATGATTCATAGATGAAAGAAACATAAATGCCCAAGGGTTTACAACCACCTGCAGTGGAAAACCTAAAGATTTTTCCTTTATTTAGGAAGTAATTAAACCACAAATTATGTGCTTTCCTCTGAGTATCAGCCAATTAACTCTTTGGTTTTTAAAGCAAAGGGTTCAGCTTTTTACTACACTTTGACTCCAATTTGAACTTCAACTAAATGCATTATTTTAATTCTCTTTAGGTAATGGCTAACACAGTGAAATCAGACGCTATTGCAACAAATGCTGCTTTGTGTTTCTGTATTTTCATCCAGCAATATTAATGTGTACCATCCCATTCAAAATATATTTCAGAACTTAACCACCTAGATATCAACATCTAAAGTGACTAAGCTAAGTAGATTTATCAAACCTGTTTTACTGTTAGACATGTGACATTATGATACTACTAGGAAAACATTTTATATGATACATGCTCGTAAGGAGTTCAACTGAGTTTGCATTATGTGACTTGACTTTAATAAAATAGGTAAATTTTTTGTTTTCTTCAGAAGATATAAAAATAATTGTTGAAAAATAAGACAACTGTTAATTTTTCAGGGATTGGCTTTTACTTCACAGTTAAATACAAAGTATGAACAAGATGACTTCAATGATTCCCAGTAAGTTGAAAGATGAATTTAAAATTGAAGATTATGATTTTCTTGGAAAATAAAAGGACCATACCTTCATTCGAAAAAAAGTAATGCTTGTAAGTAGGTCCACAGTTGATTTCAGATCTTGGAGTCTTTCAGAATTGCTGGCAGGAAAATTATCCTGGTGAATCAGGAAGAGAGGAATCATGGTGAAACTGGAGTTACAGGTAAGATCCTTGAGCAGCTTTGAAAAAAAAACCTCTAAGAAAACAAAGATGCTGTTTGGAAGGATTAGAAATGTTCATGTGTTACCTGAATTCTGCCCCTGAGAAAGTTTGTAATGAGTATCCCTTTGACATGAATAGAAGCACTTCTGATAATTCTCCTCTATTTGTAATACAAATGATTTAAAAGAGTGTGGTATTTCAAAAATATTAATGGAATAAAAAATACTACAAAAAGATTGGAAAATGATGCTAATGAAAATAATTTATGGGTTCTCCATGGCACAGAAATCACTTGTAGGCATAAATGCAACAGTAAGCTTAATATAGAAATCATATATTGAATTTTTACTATGATCTCTAGGCTAACAAGAAGACTGATGGGAAGTAGTCTTATTTAAATGGCTCCATACCAATGAAACATCACTCAGATATCCTCACGCTCCAATACTTTCTGGATAATACTCTGCAAAATTAAAAGTTTCTAGGACGAACATGTCTGCTGCATGAAAGATGTGGTTTTAAAAACTGAGTATGTGCAACTTTTACTACCTCTAATGCCTTGGCTTCTTTTAAATATTCCCTTTCTCCTTCAGTTTTAGAAAGCAGACCAGATGAAGAACAGAGGAATCCTTGGTTTGGAGGCTGCCAACCCTAGAAGCTGAAAGGAGAGCCATAGCTGATGGACCACTAATTGTGTATGTATCATCCAGAAGTTCATGATCCAGTGGAACAGAAAAGAGAGGGAGCTCAGAATGGTATGATAACTGGGAGGTATTCAGTGCATGCCTCTTTCCTGAAAGGCTGGGTTGGAGCATACCTCAGTGGAAAGAACTTCCATGAGGCAGAAATGAAACTGGACTTCCTATCATGTAGAAAAATTAAGAGTCAAGTCTCTTTCAACATTCCTAGGATCACAGCATGGAAGCTGCAGCAAAGGTATCAGTCTCTCAGAATAGATACAGCAGTAACTTCAAATTAACTGCAAATTGCACTACATGAGAAGGTAGCTCCCAGATGAACTAGCTTAATCAAGTTATAGATTAATTTAACTGAAATTGGTGAATCCTACTGTTTCTTGAATGCCTGCTCATCCCTTAACTCATTCTTAGCTTTTGGAAATAAAACTTTATTTTCAAATTGGAAAAATATTGTTATTAAAATGCTTAAATTCTGGGTCTCATGTCAGCACCCAATATTTGAAGCTTCTTTGCCACAAAAGGGATTAATGTCTGAAACTGTTTTAACCAAATATAGCCTACATGGAATATTTAACACACACACACACCCACCCCCAACATTTGAGTTGTTCTCTACATGGAATACATTGCACATACCCTGTATTTAGACAAATCAATCCTCAGAGAATTGTGCAATTGATCCAGCAGTTTTATGAACTTTTCCCTCTGTAAAAAGAAAACAAGAATATGTTGCATAAGAATCTGCAGGTTCCTGTAACTGGTGGGGTTTTAGAAAGCTGCTTTCCATTCTTAAAAACAGATTGTTTTCTGTGTTTCCTATATAAGTACTGGTCTGAGATAATTGCGGTTAAAGGGCAGACAATGTATCTTTTACTACTCTATTTTCCCTTTTTATCCTACTTGGTTTGCATTCAGCACTATGCAGCTGTGCAATATATTAGTGAGGTGACACAGACTTTCCCATGCAGCTTTTTCCTTTTAAAATGACCTATGTATTGTTAAATAACTCAAAATATCTAAAAATTGAAAAACATTGTTTGATGTCTCTGACCAAAAACACAGTAACAGCATAAATTCAGTATAAAATTCAAAGTTTTAAGTTATGTTAGCAATGTTTATTAAACAGATAAGCTTGTAAAATCTTTATACTTGCCTTGTAATTGCTTACCTCTTGAAGAAAGCACTTCCCCCTCCCTTTAATGTGTACTAAGCAGTAACTATTTACAGCAGAATTTGGTGTAAAAGTATGACTGAAAAGTATATTTCAGAAACAGTGGATTTTGTAGGAATAAGCTAACCAAAACTATGCAGTTAGTTTTCCCTTTCGTATGTGGAGATTAACATGCTAACCTGATAGATGAAGGTGAAGTGAAAGTATTTTGCTGTGAGATACCCAGCTGAATTGTGCCATTCTCAAGTAATACTAATGAGTTTCTAATTAACAATCTTCATGTTAGAACGTTTTCCATAGCCCACTGCACAAAACTGTGCAGAAATCCTTGCCAGCCTAAGTGGAAACAGCAGATTTGTAGAACTATCAAGATCTGGTAGCTCTCAGAATGCGTAACTGAATCTGAACCATTCCTGAGATATGACTGGCACTAATATGAAGTAGGGTTCCTTGTGCACTCTCACCAGGGGAGCCCTAATCTACACCAAAAGCCACTACTCTGGAACAGATCTCAAGGGATCAAAAAGGAACTTTTTTATCATGCTATAAATCTTTACTGAAATATTCAGTCAGCCAAATCCTTCCCAGCTGTAGCCTGAGGACTTGAATTTGAGATGTTCTTTTTGATGAATGATGTGCAGCTATCCACTAACAAATGCCTTTTGACCCAAGAGAAAAATAATCTAAAATTTTGCCTATAAGTCAACTGTTTTGAAAAAAAGAGCTACAAATCTCTATTAGTAATGCTTACTATTGTCTTTCCATCCATCTGTTGAACCAAGAATTGGATTGAAATTTGTGTCAAAGGTAAACTGGCATTAACATCAGGGAGAGTACTAAATCTCCATCCAATCTGAGGATAAAAGTAGTTCTGATTGTTAGAAAAATGGAAAAAAGGATAGAAAATCCAGTAAAAGCATTCTCAATTTAAAAATCTGGATGAAATCCAGAAGTCTAATAGAGCTTGAACATTGAAAGAATAGTCTTCTTTCAATGAAGATAAAGGCTCATTCCATAATAAACCATCAGTTAGCTTAGAAAACTTTAATGAGAACAGAATAATATTCTACTGTCATCACAGTAAAATCACTAGATCACATCTTATATATAAAAATATTTGTTTCATATTGTATATATTGTTATTATATTATTGTATATATTGTTGTTATATAAAAATATTTTACTTTGCAGTATTGGAACAGTGTTAATATTCCTCTTTCAAAGCAAATCTCTAGTATTAGGAGATAAAGTTCCACTTCAAGAACATGCTGTCTCCAAACTAAAGACCCATAAACTGTTTTTATAGTAAGTATTTCTCTATTGCTGAACAGACATGAAAATAACTTGTTTGTTTGCTTGTTTTCAACAGACTCATCCCTTAAATTTGAAAACATGTTTCTATTAGTACTACTTTAGGTGTACTGAGAAAGTAATTTACAGCTGTAAGCAGTACCATCAAACCCTGACATTCAGATTCAGCACTAATAAGAAAAATCAATCTTTGGCATTACTACTACACAAAGTGAGTTTTATAGAGATAAGATCTATCTCAAAAATGAAATGCAAACTAATATTTAGTTTTAACTATTTGAAGCCCTATATGAAAACATTATGAAGGAATGCTGTAAGCTGTTTGCTACAAATCAAAATCTGTTTTAGCATCTGGAGCAAGTTTTTGCTACAAAACTAAACATTTACACCATTTTCCAAACATGGATTAAATTACTGACAATATTCAGATAACTGTGTTTCTGACTTTTGATGGGAAGACAAAAGCAAAACCAGAATTAAGCCCTTCTTGGTTTACTAGTCCTAATGTATCATTTCATAGCATTATCTTGAAAATCCCAAAATTCAGACTCTTTCTGTTACTCCTAATACTGGAGAAGAGCATCATAACCTCTAACACTACTTCAAGCTATAATTTATATTGAATACATTTTAATTATGCTTAATCATTTATTTCATGTCAGGAAATGGTATTTTAGAAAACATTATTATGCTTCCATAGCTACTGATAAATGAAAAATACCTTTGATATCAGCTATAAAAAAAAAAAAAGTGGAATTAATGCATTTTTCAACATCAAATTGTGTTTATATTCTGACTACATCATGTGTAATAGTAGAGAGATGAAAGCCACTCCTGAATTTTTGCTCTCCCTTCCTGTTCTCACCTCCCCAGTGTGGACAGGTGAACAAATTAGAATACAGAGTAAATGTAACTTTACATGTTCAAGGACTGGGAAGTCTGTGCACTGAGAGATATCTACCCACAGAAGGAAAGTTAGTAACAACAAAAAAAAATACTAGCACATGCTGAAATGCTGGTATTCCTCCTAAAATTTCTGATACCTAAATCCAGGACTTGGCCACTGCACCATTACTTTATCAAAAATAAGTGCTCTTGTACAAAGAATAGTATTTATGGCTAGATCCATTTGGTTACTATGTGTTCACTGACGGCACAGCCCAAGAAAGCAATTGCAACTGAGACTTGGTCTAGCGCAGTTAACTTTTGGCAAGCCCTACTGCAATAAGAAAACCTGCTTGCTGAAGAGTTTAGTACTGTGCATGAGTGCCCATACTTTCCACCCTATATGCATTACATATAAAGAACTGAATAGCATCTTCTCTACCTTTTATAATGATTGACTGAAAAGACTCAGAGTAAAGATTTTTAAAAGCTAACAGCCACTCTTATTCTTTTTAATGACCAACTTTTAGAAAAATAATTAATTTAGAAGTTAGTACAGTATCATATATTTGATATAGAAAAAAAAAGTACTAGTATTCTATTAAAAAAGAAAGTCTACTTACCCCAAAGTTAGTAGCAGCAAACCGATCTGAGGCAGATACATTAGTTGCTGCTGTAGTATGAGCATAAAACGCATTTATATTGGCCAGCAGTGTACTCATAACTGCTGGAACACCAGGGCACATATATTTAGAAGACAGACAGGAAAAGTGCCTATAATTCAAACAAACTGACAGTTATTTTAAATGGCAAAGATTTTGCTCGCTCTTTCACCACAACTTCCTTCCAGCTCCAATGTTGAAGCTTTCAAGCTACCTCATGGAGAATTGTGCAGACACATATGAAGAAAATCTAGACATGTTTAATTGCCACTTGTTGCACACTGATATTTTCAAACTGAACACATAGGTTCACATCTGCTTCTTACTCTAAACACAAAACCGTGATTAACTATCTTAACTGCTATTAAGCAAAACATTCATTATTAAATACAAACTTAAAATCAAACACAAATTTAGCATAAAAGGCCACAAGAGATCTATCTGTACTGTAATGAAGAAGCATTTAATTGACTGCAACAAAGATTCAAACCAGCATTTTAGTGTTGCTTTTTAGGCTATGTTGTTAATGAAAGGTGAGGCAGCAAGCAACTTCTTGGTTCACCTTGATCTGATGTAGGCCATAACTGAAACTGTTCCACTTTGATTCGGGCCAGTAAAGTTTCAGTTAACATTAAAACTAAAACCAGGTAATCAGTCTGTTAAAACTGAACCAGCCAAAACCAGAGTTGCAATGTAGCAGCAGGAGATGACGGCTTATTACGTACAAAGAGTTTATATCATAAGAAAACATGAGATGCAATATGGATGAAAGATCTAACACATGAGAGCGAACAACATCATGCAAACCCTAAAATCTTAATTTCAAGATTTATGGCTAGGCAGGATTAGGAGGAAGATAAAGGGATAAAGGGTAAATATATAGAGACAGGAAAGAATGAATGGGATTAGGCAGAGAAGATGGCAGTGAAAATGAGTATAGAGCCAAACAGGAAAGGGTGAAGAAACTCCAATTGCTCTGGAGCTCTCTGCATGTCTGAAGGTCCTGATTTGGCAGCATGCTTCTCTTAGCTGGAGTCTCCGGCTCCACTCTACTGTTTCACCATAGGAGCATAAGGCAGAGCAGTGTGCTGGGCATAAACCACCTGGGCCCTAGTGCCTTTTCAAGCAAAAATGAACACAAGGTACAACTGAGCTCACTCCTGCTGAACTTAAGCCAAATACCCTGAACTGCTGTCACTGCTGCCCATTTTTGTGGGCCTGTGAAAACAGCAGCCACTAGCATGAGTTATTAACAGTTTCTAATGGGCACATGATGTTACACCAACCATTGCTGTCTCGCATATTTTAGAGTAATATTGCATTGTTTAAGCTAGAGTAACATGTCTAAAACCAGACCTGCATCAACTTTCTTAGTATGCAATTTGCTGACCAATATGCAGTGCCTGTGTTCTTCTAATCTTTCTTCCAGTGTGAATCAGCAAAGAAAGATGGCTAATTAATTTGCTGCACCCAGTAAGCATATGCTATCAATGAAAATTACTTTAATGGGTGATTTGTGTGCTTTTTGCAATGCAGCCACATTAATTGAAGACTAGGAGGGGAACAACATGGCATAGTTAATGCCCATTAGCCTACTGGAATGAGAACTATGTCACTGATTTAAAAACATTAGATTCTACCTACGGTGATTCTCACCAGTAAGAAGCAAAGATCTTAATAGAGCTTTTATTGCACTTGTCTCCGTTACACAGTAAATCCAGGATGCTGACATTATGTATAATTTCAGTGTCTAGTCAAAGACTGCTTCAATACGTGCTCTGCTTGTTGCTGTCTAAAGAGAAATAAATTACTTTAAAAGATGAGAAGAAGAAAATTATTTTTTTTCTCGGTGGTGGAGAGGTGGCTTAATAGAGGTAGGTAAATAAAATTCCAGTACAATTCCGTGAAGAATCTACAGCATAAATCACCACCCATCACTGCAGTCATCAAAATAAAGGCCAGCTGGATCACTGAGCTGTCCTATTTTGTTAATCTGTTTTCTGTCTTATCTATTTTTTTTTCCTGTTCTCTCACACATACGTGCTTTGACTTCTGGGAGTATACCCATATCATCCGTGCAGCAAACTGTGTCTATTTGGCTATCCATCTATTCATCCCTAAAAATATAAATCTCTTCTGACCTACATAAGAATGGCTATAATTGTTTTTTCATTTCTTTGCCCAATACAGACTCCTTGAGGAATGGAAGAATATAATTGTAAAAAAGAAGAGTGGATTATGGAATCTCTACAGTGAAGACTTTTCAAAGAGCCACAGTTACTGCAACACAGGCATGCTTTTTGTTGTGTTTTGCATCAGTGCTTGTTTTTCACATGAATTCCACATTTGGTAATTTAAAAGCAGTTGGAACTTGTGTTTTTATATTAAAACACCCCTTCTATGTCAGCATTCTTTAGGGAAGAATTACCAATGTTTAGTCTCATAAAAAAACAAGTGGATGCATCTGTCTCCAACAACAGACTATATAAACTTTGTAAGTTTATCAGAAAAGGTCTCATTGGAGACAATGACTAAAGCAGGCAAGTAATCACCCATGAAATGTCTTTTGTGTTGATATCCACATTCCAACCAATACCTGGTGGTGCACAGGTAATCTGATCTAGAATCTAACACTGACTCAAACATCATATGTTTTAAACCACAAAAAGTGCAAGAAAAAAGTGAGCAAGAAATAAATCTTCAAGGTTTACTAAGAGTATCATAGGTGACAAAGCCACCAGTTTTTCACTTGTGGTTGTTCATCAAAACCCATCCATGTTGTACCAAGATAACCAGCTACTGGGGTGATAGTTAAGAAGAATCACTGAAGAAATGCTAAATCAGTCCTGAGCAAACAGCCCTCCCTTGGCACTAATAGCCCTTGAGAATTCATCTCATACAAAACCTTGAATTCATTTTGATGCATACAGCAGGATCAACTCTACCATTTTAGAAATTAACATTTTGGTAAAAATAGCATACCAATTTAAATCAAGTTATAAAACTAGAATACCATGGTAGTTAATAAGCAACATACTTAATCAAGATATGAAGACTTACATGGCTAAAGAGAAGCTAAACATGAAACCCCAAATATTCATGAAACTCGGCATGTGAGTTTCTCCATATGTAGTACACATATACACCACCACAGGGGAACTGTCAAGCTTACTTAATTATTCTGTGCAATGTTGTTTAAGCTCCTTGGAGGAAGAACATTAAAAATGTATGTATTACAAAGGCATCCTCTACCTTTCTATCAGATGTACAGCACAGTAATTCACACTGAGCAATAAAGTTTCACTTTCAGTAAAGTGAAAGACATGTTCACTGCAATAGTAGATGCTGCCATTATATCCTGCAATAAAAAGAAAACTTCACATTTATGTGCCTTTGTACTTACATTTTATAGAATGTACCGTAAAGAAATGGAGGAAATAGGATACATGTTCTGAATAAAAATTCCATAATATCAGCTTTCTACGGGAAAAATAATCTGTGTTTCAAGGACTCATTCGGAGTCATCTGCTTTCCTATGGCTGCAGTAGGAGCAGAATATAGTCCTTTTCACTGGCAAACTTTTTACTGAACAAGAATACAGGACGGAGCTCTTGTATTTCCAGGTTTTTAAACTCAATGGCTCTGTCTTCTAAAGTGATCAGACAGCTGCTTTAGTCTGGACAATATAGTAACAGGTTCTAGTACAGTTAAAAATGGATCGCATGAATTATTTACGTGTACTACAGAAGTTTACTGTAGCCACTGCCGGTGTTCTGTGATGATTTCTGTACTCCTTGAAAGGAGGTAGCTTGTGAAAACCTGTCCTACCATCCCAATCCCATCTGAAACAATGGAAGTCTTTCTGATCCTTGCCACAGATCACTATTAGAAGAATTAAGAGACGCATTAGTGGTAATACAAGTAACAGGTTATAAAATGCTTATAATAGATCTTAATTCCATTGCAGATGAGAAGCACTTCAATGAAAATGAGATGGACAAAACTGAAAACAAGAAGTTTAAATCAGGAACAGGAGAGAGTAGAGAATGAAAGCATGAAGGCTTAGAACTCATCACCTCTATCAAACACATTCTTGACAGTGGAGTAGAAAACCAGATGCGATCATACTTACGTCATAGCTTGATAAATATATTCAATTCCATAGCGCATTGCAAATTCATCTACAATTTCTTGTGCAGCATCATCAAAGTACACCTTCCAGGCTTCATCACCTCTCACTTCAGGGATTTTTACAACACCATTAGATTTAACTTCCGTCAAGTAATGGAATAAATTCTAAATATAAGAAATGTTTCAAATAGGAATTTTCCTCTTTTAAGTGGCATTCTGAAAGTATATCCTACATAACAGTCATCAGTATGTTGACTGCTGGACTGTGGGGTTTTTTGTGTTTTATTGTTAGGGGGGGTTTATTTTTTTCTGACAAGTCATCATTGGGTAAACAAACCCTGACTCTAACCATGGTTTTTGTAACGGAACACTGCTAGTGCAGGCTTGTGATGCAGAGCATTGATCTACCTCCTTGATATAAGGTCATGCCAGCTAACTGGCACAGAGAGACTGCAACATAAGCTTGTACATAAACTCTCTTCTCTGTCATATGCTTGCGTCAATGAATGAAATCCTCATGTTACAATGCTCACTATAGTGCTTCAACTTTAATGGGATCTGCAACCAATAAATTTCGAATTTACTATTTAAGATCTGTAAGTTATAGGAAACCTATCAGAAATCTTGCTAAAGCTTCTCAAGTAGTAAAAGGCATGCAATAAGGTTTAGGTTTAGCAACATTATGACCCAAGCTAGTATTTAATTTGCTGTTCATGTCAGATTACCTAGCTCCATATGCATCCACCAACTGAGCAAGAGATTTTATTTCCTATTTTCAGTGACAAAAAGAAAAATGCCCAAACCTTGAAATAATTTCCTTTCTGCTAACAGTCCACAATTGTCATGTGGATTATCCTAAAGCAAGATTTTTGACACTTCACAGGCCAAAAAATTTGCAATATTAGGTCAAAACCTATGAGCACATGTGCCTTCAACACTTAGTTTTACAAATGGTGAACAATGGGGTTTTGTGGACATATACTAGTGATGAACTTTCAACCATGTATTATCTATCAGCTTTCAGAAAGTACTTGAATTAATTTAAATTAAAAATACGTCAGAAAGTATTGTTTGAATAGAACTTCAATGTGGGTCACTGTTAAAGGGAAGAAGAATCAAATACAAAGAAAAATATTTTGCAAGACACAGTGGTTTATCAGCGATGAGTTTTTTTCAACGTTAACAAAAGCAATCTACATGAAATGGAAACAGAATTTTAACTGTATTTTATATTGTGCTCCTCCTGCTTTTTCTCACTCTTTCCAAAATAAGAATTAATGTAGCAGAAAATAAATCCTTTACAGTTAATAGCTATGTTTCTGTAATATACACAATGGTTGTATCTCCTTGATGTTAGTAATCAAAATGCTAAAATAAAGTATGGTACAGGGAGAACTTAGCTGACTCCACCTCTTTTTCTAACTCCTAATGGCAGGAGCAGGAATGATGTGTTGGTATTTGTTCTGCCTTTGTCTCTGAACCTGACATGCCGTCAGCAGTGAAAAGTGGAAATCTAAAATAAACTTGTCCTGGGGTGTAGCAGCAGTTACTTGTTTCAGTGTTCTAGTGTTCTGTAGCCTTTTTTGCTCATCCATGCAACAACTAGATAGTAATTTCTGTATAGTACATTTTCTTTAACTTCTCCAACGTACCTCATGTAGGCAGGTGTACTGCACATGGTAGGGAGCAACTTTCTCCTCTCCTTCTATTTCAACATTGATTTTCAATCTAATGGCACCAGAGACAGCTGATTTATCTGTTCGCTTTTCTGAAGAGCAAAAAAATAATGTATTAGTAACTACCAAGAATATATATATGTCATGTGAAAAGCTTTCAATAAATCTTTCTGGCTGAATAAGAATGTTTTAAGTCAGAAATTCCTGCTGTTGAGAATAAGATTTTTTTTTTTTTACTACCTCACACATGGTTCAGGCCATGAAGCAGAATCCCAGGCTCTGAAGTAAAGAATTTTATCTGCCAAATCCCAACCAGCCTGCACAGTACTTTGTTTAACAATTTTCCCCTTTCAATAGGAATTATTTCAATTTTACAGTAGCTGTACTAATTATTATTTTCATTATTGATATTTTTCTGTAAAGACTTCAGCCACAACCTGAACTATGCCCGAGTAGGGTGGATTCACCCTTCCTGGATATATTGAAAAAAATCAGTAAGAATCATACCTAAATTATACCACACATCCATTTCTCCACTCAGTGTTCTTACTTCAATGATTGTTTGCCCGAGGAAGTCGTCTGATTCCTTTTTGAAATGTTGTTTTACTCTAGATTTTATGTCATCATCTTCATCCCATACTCTCACTTTGATTCTATCTGTAGAATTATGGCATTCACTGTAAAAATAATAAATACAAAACGTGAATGCTACATAAGCTTCATACATTTGTACTTCTGTTTAATTCACTGTCCTAGATTTCTATACACTTGCTTAAATACATACAGTGACAGAATACAAACAACCTGCAACATTCAGTGGAATGAAAGGCCACATCACATTGCCAGGAACAAAACTACAATTACTATATATATATAAAAGAGAAATTATATGCATGAATTATATACACATATGGATTGTACTTTGGAATGTTATGAACTTTTCATTAGAATTATTATTAACTTACAATGTGTACTTCTCAGTGTTAATATTTAACAAATATCTTGGAAAGGTACAGTTAAGTCAGTTTTTTTTCTTCATTTAGAAATGCTATATAGTGCATGCAGTAGACCATAAAAGTAATAGCCTAGAATATTATAATAGAAAATCTTCAATAATATTTCCAGTATGTGGCAGGAAGTTTGGAAAACCAAACCCAAAAACCAAATCACAAAACCCCCCAAGAGCTATGAACAAACAAGACAAGCCAGGCAATCAGAAAAATGTAGAGAAACAAGTACCTGGCTTGCCTTTTTTTTTTTTTTAAAGATGTATTTCTTTCCTCCAAGGTTCCCATTCCCTGGTAAGGAGCAGGAGTAGGAACAAACCACCATATACTAAAAAATTCCCTGCAAATTTAAGTGCCTTACTAACCCCTCATGAGTTCAATGGATTTGAGAAACTACTGGTTGTATGAGAGTGAGGCGGCTTCAATTGCAATTTGCAGAATTCCCAATAGATAAATTTTTTACTTCCAGCTCTTGCACATATCCATATGCATTTTTACTTCCATATCCTGCATATATTCACACAGAAATGGAAAAACTCTACTGCTGAATATTCCTATAAGCCACAATGAGGACTGTTTACTGTTGGTCAGGTTGGCTTTCATGACTTCACTGGAATATCCTAACATTGACTCTAGAAGTCTGTGGCAGTGAAAAAACTTTCTGATGACATTTAATGGGTAGTACAGACCTGGCATCAGTAATAAGCCATGTCATCCCATGCATCCATACTAATAGGGGTTTTTAATATATTTTTTAATAACTACAAAATATTTTAATTAGTAAAAATCTTTGATTATTTGTAAATATACCTTTAAAGTGTATCAGCAAATTTTCATCTTCCACAAGGTCTTAGTTTGACACCAGATTCTGAGTTTTTACTTGAATTCTATTCCAAACACTATCGCCGCTCAGTGATCTGTCTCAGCATTTCCAGCATTAAAACAGTAATACTGTAATTTATCTCCCAAGTGGCACCCCTCAGGGGTCTTCTAGGAATTAATTAGTGGTGGTAATGAGTTTTGGAAGTATAAAGTGCTTTAAATGGTATTATTACTGTCAAAGCAAATCAGTCACTAAAAATGGCATACACAGCTTTTATTCTGCCTCACTGTGACATCATTCACTATCACAGAAATGCTTGTGTCTAAATTTTAACATTGCAGATATCTTTGGTAATTAAAACCAACATTGTTCTGTGATTAGCAAAACTAATGAAGCCTAGTTTACTTTCATCTTATGACTGGCTTCCCTGGCATCTAACAAATTGCAATCACCTATTTAAACTTTTCCCATCATAGAGATTTTCCTAAATTACCCCTTCATATGGACTCCCTGGGGAGCTGGGGTGAGCTGAAATTGAGGAAACTGTTAGGATCTCATCTCTGTCTGACCACCTATTTTCATAGAACATGACTGACATAGTTAGGCAACATGTGAATTTTCTCTGACTGACCACAAAATTAAAAAGCCATTGGCCAGGATATATAAAATACAGGAAGATACAAGATGGATCAAATAAACACCCTTTGTGTTAAAAACCTAGGCTAAAGCCTTTGATTTTCCTCATACACAGCTCTGCATTATTGCCTAACATTGCTAGACTCCTGATCTACATTTAACTGTGCACCTAATAGAAACAGTAAACAGGATTTCCACAGTGGCATAGGCAGACCTGTCACTGGTGTGGCATTTAGTGACCCTCATCACCGTATCTGTAGATGCAATTAGATACTGATCAGATACTAATGTCATTTGTAGAAATCTTGTTACTGTTTTGCTTCTCAGGGAGACGCTGCATATATAAAAAAATATCATTAAATGGTACTTCAGTACAAATACCATATTTATGGTATTTCTCCTGAGACACCACCAGTTTTCCTCTGATGTACACTTGGTTGATTAAGGGATAGTTATTCAGATGATCAGGACAACTGCACTTTTCCTGATATCCTCTTTTGTCTCCTTCGTATCTTTTCCTCCCTTAACCTTAGGTCAGTGAAACACAGTGAAACCTATCACAACTGATGGGTTTACTCCCATGCTCAACCGTATGTCTAAACCTTTAGCACAGAATCAGCTCTGCTACGTATTTGCAATGTTCCCATGCAAGACTCCACAACTATCATAGATCTGTGATGCAAAAATGGAAGGCTGGATGAACATGTATTTCTACAGGCCTGCACTGTGGAAGGAAGAATTACTATGAAAGTTACAGAGCTGTCACTGAATTCTACTTACCTGCCAGCCTCTCAATAACAGCACTACATAATGAGATGCACATTCTGCTTTCGTCACCGGTAACATCGCTGCAGAAGCTCTGTGGCTTTGCAGAAAGCATTGGGTGGGATTCCTACTTCCTACTGTGCAGGAAAACCAGCCCACCGGGTTCAAGGCAAACAACATATGCTATTTTCACTGTGCCTTTTCTAGCCACTCCACTTTACATGCTCAGTAAAAGTATTCAGTAAGGTGTGATACAGAAAAGTGAGAAGTGATTTAGTCTTTAGCACACAGAGAATGAAGATACCAATGATTTTGAAAGCTGGAAAAACTGCAGTATATTTGCAGATGTTAAACAGAAGTCACAGTTTTGATATTTAATAAGAAGTCTGGTGATGCTGCATCACTCCTACATTTACAGGATGAAATATATTTACATAGACATGAAATAATCCTCACAGCATTCCTGCGTATTCTAATGGCTAGAGTTATAAAAAAAGCAATAATAAACTATCTTTACTACAGTAGCTCAATGTAAATTCAATATTAGGTGCTCTGGCACAACCTGATTGTACACCTCATCTAAGAGATCTACACCCAGTGGTGAAACAACAACTGACTGATATTATGCTACTTTCACTAAAGAAATAAACTTAAATGAATGGGGAAGCTGGTAAAGAATATATGGAGACTAATTTCCCACTCTGCCAAAAAGAAACGCGTTCATCATAATAGCATTCTTTCCTTGTAGTCTTCAGTAAAAACTCTTACATCCACTAACAAATTTGCGTTCTCTGATTAGATAAAGTGGAGAGGATTTTTTTTCTCCTACTGCTTTAAAAAAGTGTTACTTCGAGAACTTAAAGAAAGTAACTTTTTCAATAAACTATTTTGGTGAAATTCTGTAAGCAATCAGCAGACAAATTACCTTATGCCTGAGATGTAGGGAATTACTGCAGAGCCTTTGTAACAGCTTTGCCTGCAGTTTTGCACATTTTGTAGCAAGTCACTCTGGTTGTTGATGGATAAACCTGAACATCTAATTTGTTTTCACCAGCGTACTTCAGCTGAAGACGGCCAGCCTGTCTATCTCGGAGCACTTGCTGAAGAATCACTGTGGTCTATGGTAATTGAAGTACACAGGCTCCTTTTTTCTCCTGCTTTTTGTTTCCAGTTTCTTTCTCTGGTAGCTGCTATCACTTCTTATTCTGTTTCAAAAATACCTGAATTCTTTCCGAACATACATTCATTAAGACACGTAAAGAAAACACCATACTTACCACTTTGTGATACTAACCACAGGTAAAGTCAGTATTCGTATTGTTATTTCAGATGGCTATCTCTTTAGTTGTAGACCATTACATATACCTTAGGTCTCTTCTACAAACTAAAGGAATAGATTTTGGAAGATGATATTTTACTCTTTTAAGTGCTATAATCACTTAGTGACTCAACACTGACTTAACTGGAAAACAGATAAAAACACAATGCCACTTGAAAAACAAACAAAAAAACCAAAACCCCCAAACAAAACAGAAAACCACATACTAAATGAGAGATCATTGTTCTTGTGAAATCCCCTCATGAACAAGCCTAAGGAATACATTTTGCATAGCAGGTAACGTACATAAAGGAGAGAGTTGAACCTTGCCAAATTCCTACCAAATTTTGTTCCCTTATACTAAAATATCTTGGATGCCATATTGTCTGTTGTAGGGAATGGAAGGTGGTAACACAGATATTGTCCTAAAAGTATAAAGAAACCACATGGTCATGGAAGACAGTAGTAGAATGAAGGTCAGGTAGCCATTTACTGCTAACGTTACCCTCAAGTTAATGATTATTGCCATTAATGCAAGCCAGAACCAGATACATCCATGGCATTGCTATGAGACTTGTCCATTCTGTTATTAACTGTTCAGAGATAGTACCATAATCCCTCAGAAAAACTATCTATTCCAGTATTTTACCAGCCCAACTATAGCCAAATTTTTGCTGAAGTCTGATATAAGCCTCTAAATGGAATTTTTGTGCCTGTTACTCCTTATTCTACTATAACAGTAAGCATGAAAAATAGATTATTCCTTTCATCTTTGAAGAGAAAGGATGTGTTTAAAGACATTCTTACCTACACTACTTGTCTCTTCTCTAGTCTGGACAGTCCCAGCTCTTTAACAGTGTGGTCATGGGGCATGCTTTCGATAAAGTAGAATGAGACTAGTTATGCTTTTTCTTGCATTAGTTTACTCTGTCATAACAAAAAGTGAGCAGTATAAAATTAAGCTGGATTGACAACAGTTTGAAAGAAAGACTCAGACTGAACACGCTGTAACGTGAAACTGAAAAACATTATTTCTGAACAAACAATTTATCATTTGAACTTGTTCTCAGAGTCTCGTGCTTTGGGCTGCGGCTGTGAGATAGTCATGTTAATTAGCAGGATGTCTCTGAGGGACTGGGCTGCTTACTGAAGAATTTTTGGAATGGATAAATCCAGTAAACTAATTTGTGGGTTTCTATTACCTAATTGCTTGTGTGTAATATAATTCTCTGTTATATATTCTTTCTTATGAAACAATCCTGAAGATGTTTCAACAATTCTCACAAGACTGTGTTTAGTTATCACTGGAAACTGGAACACCACATGGTCATTTAACCAATCCCACTGTCTTCAGGTACAACCAAGATCATACTTTTTACAAGGCAGCTCAGTTGATCTGTATAAAACAACAGTATGAAAGAATTTTGGCAAGGTCCTCTTGTATTTATTTCCTATACATGGCCGATTATAGTAAATATTGCTTTAAATGCATAAAAAAAAAATCAGTTCTTTGCAGTACAGACTGTGTGAGTGATGCTCTTTAAAATAATTTCAAGGTAAGAGCATCCACATTGGATGCCTGAAATAGCTGCCAGAAATTCTCAATTCATCAGAAACTCCAGACTGAAATATCCAAAATATGAAGCAGTTGAACAGTTTCTCTGACCAACACAGAAACTTGAACTATCACAGTCTCTAATTTACATCAGTGCTGTTTGGTACCAGGGGATACTTCTCCCCAGTATTATCTGCTGAAATACATAGCAGTAGAAATTCTCAGCAACACTCTACATGTTTTAACAAACAGTTGGGGGGTTTTGTTTGTTTGGTTTACCTACAAGCACTTGAAAATCTTCTCTCCATAACATTTTATGTCTGCACTGATATCAGTATATTACCAGGAAATCATCAAGAATGTCACAGATCAGACAAATTCTAACAATACAGTGATGACCATAAAAAAAAACAAAAAACAAAAAACCCACCTTTCTCATTGGTCTAATTTAAAACAATTAGATCAAATGTTTTCATGCACTGAGAAGAGTAACAGATACCCAATGAAGCTATTGATCAAAGCCTAGTGGCCTAATGACAAAGAAAATTGAAAGAATATGTAAAATAATCATCCAGTTATGTGAAAGACTTTTGTATTATACAACCAGATCTGAGGCATTAATGAGTGGTCAGAGGGAACATTATGCTTGCAAAGTCTGCAAGGCAATTTGGAGGTGTACGCTTCCTAGACAACACTCCCAGAAAAAAGCAGATTTCCGTATTTCTGCAATCAACTATTGAAAATAGCCAAGAAATGAATATGAGTGGAGTTTTATTGCAGATTTTAAAGTTTGTACAAAGCTGAAAACTGTACAGCCAATATATGTCTTTCTTGTAATTGAAAATTAAAAAAAGCAGGCCCCTTTCCCACATCAGATGTCAAACTCAACCAGAAAAAGGAAGGTGACAGAGAGCTGCAGGACTCTTCCTTTGCTGGCACTGAAAAAGCTCTCATATCACTGATGTTTTGTTGAAAAAAATAAAACCTGGTCTGTTATCACTGACTTAATAATACCACGACAAGATCAAAGCTCTTACCACCTATACTACATTAATTAAAAGAGCATCTTCTGTCCTATTTACTTCTCTATCTTGTGTATAAAAAAATATACATTTCAAGGAAAGATGTATTCTTCCTGTGATAGCCCTGGGTTTTCTTGCTGAGATGCATACAGTTGTAGGTAAGCTCTAATTTGGTTATGGATTATGAGTTCCCATGTTAAATCTATGCCAGTATTCCATGGTCATTTAACAGAGGGTTACGTTATTTTCTGTTAGAAACATTCACTCCCTGCTTACCATCCAATCATATTAGGGTTACGTGTGATCCTGCAAACAGGAACATTGCCCTCACTCTATCTGCTATGACAGAGCAAATGCACAGTGGGGAGCCAATGTTTTTTCCAAGTCTCTGTTTCGGAACAGATGGGGAGATTTCAATGCATGTTTTGGTATTATGAGTCAATATATGATTGTGAGATCTTGAGATGTATTTTATTTCTGCAATTTATCATTTAGGAGTTATAATGATGATTAGTATTTTATTTTAAATAGGACTATCAAATATCACTAGTAGAGCCTAATTTTAATGAAACTTCCTGAGTCAATGGAATAGTTACATTGATCTATTTCCATTTTAATCTTGTGGTTAAACATTTATAATTTATTTAATATACTTTACAAATTCTCATATACTTTCAATTGAAATCCAATGCATTAAATAAGGAGATTATTTTAGAAAGCACAAGTGCTATAGACGTGATTGAAAATGTATTCAGTTCAAAGCAGTTACTCAGGAGATTTATGCTATAGTAAGGTTGGTTTTTTTTTATTATTAATGTTATTGCTAGAGCAGCAGATGACAGTAATACTTAGTGCTGAGTGAAAAAAAGGTATCATTTTCACGTTTCCAGGGATTTAATGGTAGCCCTGCTCATATCTTTGAGCAAATATATTTAAAACTTCATATCAAATTTACTGAATTGCTCATCCAACTTTTAACACTACCTAACTCATACATTTAAATGCAAGAAAGTAACTAATCTCTTACCTTTGTTTATTCACAGTGATACGAGGTATGAAATTTCAAATGTTATTGAAGTAATACAAATAACTCAATAACAGAACACAATCTCTATAGGGGAAGCGTGTAAAGTTTCTAAGTGTGTGTTTTCTCTGAATTAACTATTCTAGTACCGGCATTTGAATCTGTGAAAGGAATGGGCATCCACTGTTTAATACAGTCGGAATACCTACTACTTTTCCAGGCAAATAGAAGTGGCGTCTGGGTCATACATCTTTCAAACTCACTAGGGAATCAACCTCCTCATCAATAAGGTAGCGGATTTTAGTCAAAACAAACAAAACCAGCCAACCAACCAAAACCCCTCCAAAACCAGGCAAGTAGATGTGCTACATAAGAAGGTAACCTATCATGTTATGACATTGCCCCTTCCTGAAGAAAACAGAGGTCTATTTCAAATTGCTGAAGCCTAACAAATTGTTTCAATTGTTTACACAGTAATAATGACAACTAACGTGTTCCTTATAGGAGGAAAGTAAGGTAAGAGAAACTAAACAATATTATGGCTTGAAGACAATTATTTTACATTGTGATGAGTGGTTATTTTGAAGTTGCCTGTTGCACACAGTGACTAACTAAAGATTCTGAATCTTAACTGGGCAGTCTGCAGGACCCTGAGCTGTTCTGCTACTGCTGTGTAAATTCAGGGTTGCTTAAAAAAAACGACATATCACTTTTATCATCACTGATACAGATTTTCATCAAGTTGTATCAAATTAAGATACAGTTTTGAATAGCATTATTAGGTACAAACATATTAGACTTTTATAATGTAGTAGCAAGGTTAGATTATTATGTGTCAACAGTCTGCATATATTTTCAGTAAAAATGCAAATAAATCTGTTGTATTTAACAACCACTGAAGTTGTATACCCTTTTTTATTATAGTTTCTTCTTTTTGTAATTTACGATACGTTTTCACACAGCTTCCATAAAATACCTACTAACTTCATGTGATAACACTGTGGTAGATGCTCTCAGGGTAGACTGGAACTTTTCTGAACAATTTAAAATATCTTGCTAAATAAACAGTTCTCTTTCACTTAAAAACTTCCAAAGGAAATCTAGGGTTTATATTAGCTTTTCAGAATCTTTAACTGACTTTAATAATAGTAGTAAAGTGCACATCATATACTTGAGCACACGGTAATTGAGCTGAATAAAGAGTAAATGCTGAAATATTTTTGCTATCAATAGAGGAATAACACTCAGCAAATTGATACTATTATCAGATTGAACACGTTCTCAGTCAGGAATGTGTTGTATCCCAAGGTAATATTTTCAGGAAAGTAACAGTATAGTTCCTGTGAATTGGGATTTCTGGTACTGTAACATGTGTTTCTGAAAGAAGTTCCAGGAACATTGCCAGAAGTTGAACTGGCATGAAATCATACCCAAACTGTTGTCAGTGTATTAAAGACTGAAACATCTACTTTGGAGTCAGAACTGAATTTCTGGATATGCTGACAACAAACTATTCCATATTCAGTTCAGAGGCTGTGGCCAAAGAAAGGAGACAGAAGGATCATATTCTCCACATCAGACTTCTGGACAGCTCTCAGTCTTAAAACGATTAGACATACAAACAGCCCAGCCCAGAGCCTAAAGCATACCAGTTACTATCACATTCCCCCGTTTCACCTAGGAAAGTCATCCTGAATAAAAATGCATTTACCTTGCATGGTGAGTATCAGAGACACAAGAAGGCATTTATAGTGCAAGCATTTTGTATGTAAGGTTTGAGTGTGAAAAATATTACTGAAGTTCCTTAAAAAAGGAAAATAAATGCCACCAACAGATGCCCAAAAAGACATAATTATGAGCTGTATGATTACTATATCATAAAGTCACTTCTATGCTCTTTCCCTTCAGAACTTGTTTATTATTGCTATGAACATGCATAATATAGACAACAAATATTTTCCAACTAAGTAACTATTTTACATGGTAGCACTACATTACCTAAATGTAAATTCACAAACCAAGGAACAACAATATCTTCTGTACTTACAAGTAGAATTTTTCATCCCATACTGGATTCAAGTTTCCAAAGATAGTCTTTGTTCTCCGCTTGGTTTTGCCAACTTGCACAGTAACATATGGGTCACTTGAGCCAGTTTTGTCCTTAGCCTGTAAGCCCTGAGCACAAAGAACTGCAACAAAAGGAAAAAAATATGCTTCAGCCCTCATAGCCTTCATTGCCAAGAAATAAATGAGACACTAATAACAGCAACAGGAAACAAAGCCTTCAAACTGAGGTCTCCTAAAACAAAGCTTTCTGGATGAATTTTCTCAGCACCTGCTATGCTCGAGATGGACAAGCCCTGTCTAACTACCCTCTGGACTGTATAAAATTTACAAATATGGTTTAATAGGGTAATAAATTTAAAGATTCACTACAGAGCACAAAAGACTTTTTTTTTTTTGCCATGCATAATCCAGATAAGCTTCTCAAAATTTTGTTTTATCAGCACTGCAAGTAATGTAATATTTTTGTATAACTTTGAGTCTAATCATCCCGAAAATTTCCACTCCTCATCCCCAATAAATGAATCATTATTTTCAAAATTTCTCCAAAGGTCCAAACTAAAATTTCCAAAATAATACCTCCCATTGGCAAAAACCTGCACTGTGGATTATGAAACTAAACAGGAGAGGCATGGTTATGACTTTGTAATTTGTTTTCCTCATGTGAGAGATGTACTATGAGGATTTTCAGATTACTTCCTATTCTATCACAGACAGGGTGACAGTTCAGATCAATTATCATTAGCTGCTCGTGTATTTGTTAGCCCTTCTGACAGTTAATGCGGGTGTATAGTTACTGTATGCACATTTTGTGGCAAATAAAAATACACACAACTTGATTTTCCATCATAATTCATAAAACTAGAAATCTCAGCAGAAAGCAGAACTATCAAGTAGCAGCCTATGGAACCCAGACAGCTGCAGCTAAAGCACATGCCATGGCTCCCAGCATCAGCAGAGCTTGGTTTTATTTTTTTGCATATATTTCAACTGTCTTGGTGGCAACATTTAGTTAAAATTCTGTAATGCAAATCATTCTGGATAATGAAGCTCCCCCAGTGTGCTCAGAAAAATGATTATATAACAATGGCACCTTCTTAGGAGATCAGCTCTCACTCTTGAAAAGACTAACCTTTTAGGAATAAACTGCAACATATTTTGTCTTCCCTGTTCACTGCAAATCCAAGGGGAAATTTTTAGAAGGCAAGGAAGTATTCCTCTCCTATTTATAGGAGAATTAAGGGCCAGTGTCTTCCAGAATTGCCAGCTATTATAGTGGCCTGAATACAAGGCAGCCTTGAGTATCCTTTTGCAGCAGAAGTAAAAGTAAGAATGAATTAAGTATTTTCCCTGATGTATCTCTCCATATCCCCTGTGCTTGGTGACAGTCCCAAAATTCAACAGCTATTCTTTATGTTTCACATACTGTCTCACAACCTTCAGAATGGCCTCCCTTTTTCCTAATCCATCTAACTCACAATCTCAGATTTTCTTCTGATTTCTCCTGGCACATATCTGCTATTCTCAGCTCTGTGTATACGTTACATATTGCCCCAAGTGTGACTGGGCTTTAGTTCGGACTACAGAGCCATGCATAACTAATAACACACCTACCAACTCTCACAGAATAATTTGTTCATGGTTCACTTAACAGATGCTTTTGTCCTTTCCCTCCTGAATGCCAGCTTTAAATTTCAGCACTGCAAATGGCCATTTCATCTCTCAATGACCCTTCCTTGATACATTAAAAAAGTGCCACAGAATTGAAAAGTACTATAGCAAAAATTTTAGAGCACACAACCCAAATACATTTACAAATTATATACGTTATAAATGTACCACTGTACTAATAAATTATGTACATTATAAAACACATACAATACCAGAAATGAAAAGAAAAAAAGAGATAGTTTCATTTTTATGTAAAGAAACCCCCTTTTGGCTCTCACACAAAAGAACATTACTATTATATTTAGTGAAAGAAGTGTGACTGTGCTTAGTTTTGAAAATATCGTTTTAACACTTTACGACACAGTAATTTGAAGATGTGGGTCTAAGTCCAGTTCATTTTTGTTCTCAGTTATAACAGCTGCCATAGCTGAAAATGATACCTTAACAAAAACATGTAGATCCAAATGGCTGAACTTACTAAATCACAACTCTCATTTTTTAATCCCATCCAACAACAATGGAAGATTTTTGTTGCAATTCAGCTTGTAAATTTCCATCTTGCTTGATGTCAGCCAGTTCTTGCAAACTAATTGCAAAGTATTTTGGCAAATGAGTTCAAACCCCACCAGAACTCCTCATTTGGAAGTTTTTTTAAAAGGCAGAAAATCCAATTTCCAAGCTTTTTAAGTGTAAAAATTAGAGTTTTTGTAGGTGACACACACCAGTTTTAGCAGCAAAACCATGTAACAATGGAAACACGTCCAAACGTTCATTTTCAGCAAACAAAGAATGGATGATGAGTTTCAAATAAATAGGGGTTGGAATTGCAAGATGCAGTGTTCTTGGCATCAGAGTAATTAAAACCCCATAAACGAAATTGTGAACTCTTGCAGTTGGTGGTAAAAAGCTCAGCACTAGCACAGAAGACATTGTTAGGACAAAGAGGAGACAAGAAGACTATTTATCTTCCTTCCTAGAGGAGTGGAATATAAAGTAGTTTTGCCAACAGCTGTAACTTCTTCCAGCTAGCATGCTATAAATTCAACCAAGGTACCAAGTACACAATTGAACACAGTTCCAGGTCTAATTATAATAAATTTTATTCCCAAACCAGGAGACTAGGAAAGAAAGGGCTCTTAGAGCAAACAGTTCAGAAGAAAATTTACCTGTGATTGTTATTTTTGCTGACCACTTGGACGTGCCATCCAAAACACTTTGTTTTGCTGCTTTTGTATATTGCACAAAGTCTTCTTTGGAAATATTAAACATCTCCTGGATCACTTCAAACACCTCTGGTCTATTCTTTTCTCTGATCTTCATTCTTTCCTTCATAGCACTGATAATGTTCTGTGTTTTATCTTCTGCACCATGTTTGGAACTCTTCTCAGCAGCTCCTGCAATAACAGAAAAGGTCAAAACTTTTTTACAAGAATTGTTATCTTATTTCTCCTTTAATTCTCCAGCCAATTGCCAGTACTGCAGTACTCAAAGATGTACCCAAATAATTTTTTAATTTCCCTTCTAAGTCAGCATGATGTAACAATATTTTCATTCCTTTTGGAGCAGAATGGTACAAGAAACCGTATTTGTCTAGTTAGAACAAAAAACTCCCCCAAATTAACAGAAACAGTATTCAAACAAGATAATGTTTCCATTGCAGTTTTTTAAGAGAATTTTTATTTTGACAATAAGGACATTAATCTAGATACCTGCTATGCTCTCCCACAGTGGAAATCTAATGAACAGGAGAGAGAAATAGACATAGCAACTTTCTTGACTGTTTCCAGATACATCTTGATATTTGCTGATGCTGCCTGACTCATGGAAAGTTTTTCATTCCTTCCAGGAACAGTGTTAATAAAAAGTTAATGATGACATAAATCCATTTAACAAAGCATTCAAAACCTACTGAATGTAAGCATTCCCTGGATTTAAGCATTTATATTAATTTGGAACTATCCTAACTGTAACGCTGACTTGACATCCTCAGTCTGAAACACCAGTGCACTCCATCCCTTCATTAAACATCATGCATCAACAAAGGAGAGCTTCACAAAGCTCAGTGTTAGGAGTGGAGTCTTCTGATGGCTATTAAAGCCACTCTTCCATGCTCTGCTTACCAAAGTGTAGACATGTACTTAGCTTTTTACTCTGGTTGCAGCTGTACAGATTTAAAGGAGTGCTTTTCCAAGAATTCTAACACTGGAACCATACAGGGAATTTCTGCAAGCAATATTGCCCCTGTGCTTGTGTGATATTAAACTTAAGGGTCTAACCTATAGATTAAATCAGAAAACAAAGAAAATACTCAGGTTATTTGCTGATTTGTCTGGGACATATTACAGGTTTTATTCACAGTTTTTCCCAGGAGAACTCTGGAGAGATTTCTCTCTCTAAAGATCATAGGTGATTTCAGAGGGCCTTTAAAAGCCAAAGTGAAGTTCTCCTTACAAAATGAGGAAAGTGTTTCTACTCAGTGTCTCTGCTATGCATATTGTATTGGAATAACTCAAGCGTACTCTCGAAAAAAAAACAAATGTCCATCTTGCAGTTGGGCATGAGAAAAGAATGGTTAAAATGGTATTACAAATGTTGGAAGCAAAAAGATTTCTGCAGTGCTAAAGAAGTTGTTTCAAGTCTTGACAAGACTGACATATTAAGCAAGATGCAAGAAGACTACAAATGTAATCAATGACACATTAATCACCTGCTACAGGTATTGTTGAATTTTAGCCCATGTTGTTAAACATTGCTCAGGGGCTCATAGCACTGAGCATGACAATCATCATCATACTAGCAGCAGTAAGTACTTTGGCCTTCCAAAAGGTTGTGAAAACATCACCCAGCTAGCCATCCTCCATGCCTGGGAGGATCAAAGTATTATTGTTCCCTTTAAATGGACAGTAAAATTAAGACAAAATTATGTTGAATCACTCACCACACAATTAGAATTCAGATTTCTTAATAATGATGAGGAACACAGTTCCTTCTCTGCACTACTGTCAAATATCCTCTTCTTTTGAGTACATTATTTTTGTTGAGGCACTCTCAGCTTGCAATGGCTAAAGAAGATCTTGATAAATCCTGAAAATCTCTTTGAATAGGTTTGTTTTTTTTTTTTTAATGCAGAAGACTAAAGTTCTAGTGATTAAGAGTTTTACACACTGAAAAACTATGAATTGGTAGAAAATGAATTAAATGCTACCATGAAACCAAATACCAGTTAAAAATTCTCTAGGGATTTTATCACAAAAGAGATGATTTTGAGCTGCCTAGAAAGAGTGACAGGTACTTCCTGCAAGATGCAGGAAAGCAACATTTTTCATCTCTTGTGTTTTCTGCCCTTACGTTAAAAGTACAAATACAACGTCATGATGAATTGATAAACCACAGACACAGTCTGAGTGGCAATAAAGTATTCCTATTGAAAACCTTGCTGCTTTTTGAGACAGTACAGGTAAAATTGGAATTTGCAGTAAAGAGAAATTTGCTTTATGTTTTACTGAACAATCACAATAGGCTTCTATTTATACTAAATTATTTATTGCAGCTATTGTCACATCCTCTATTGCTGACAGTCTAACAGCTCTTTTCATGCAGTATTGATCAGACTAATTAAGACAATATTCTAACATATTGCAAAGGAAGTGAACAAGCCCCTTTTACCCTAGGGACTGATACAAATGCAACATGATTAAAATCAATTCTGATTTAATACCTACTATTAGAGAAAGGGTACCTTGTTGAAGATGAGAGGTCTCTAATGAAAGTAGTACTGATTTTTCTTACATCTAATTTAGAACAAGCTTAGATATTGATGTTAAAGAGCTTGAGATGTCTACAGTCTACGTTAGCAATCATTAAGCATATAAAAAAATGACAGAAGCTTGGAGGGCAATATGTCCTATTGATTATGAAATGGCCAAAAGGACAACTTTAATAAAAAAACCCACAATGAACCACATTCATTTCACTTTATGATACTGTTAAGCTTTCTTATAGAACCAACTGCGCTGCTCAATTCATTCTTCAGTGAAATGTTAAATATTTTAACATAAAAGAAACAAAGCACATGAGGTTAATTTTCAAAGCAATCTAACAGTCAAACCTGCTGAACAATCAATCCGTTGCAAAAATATGTGACAGGATTCTCAAAAACATTTGTATAGTAATGGGAAGATTTGGATCCCTTAGGTGTGTCAAGTATTTTTTTTGCCTCCTAGAGGTTTACTCTTTCAAGAATCAGTTGTTCAATGCTTTCAAACTTGACACCACAGGTGACTGCCAATCCTACTTGTTTTTTGCAGGCTCTCTCTCAGCATTATCATTTATACATTTGTAAAGACAATATGGCTCTTTGAGCCATTTGTTATGTATTCTGGGGCAGGTGATATGGGCCAGCAAACCACTGGGCTGAGTATATCTTCAGATAAGTGAAAAGGAAGATAAAAAGGATACTTTTAATCTGTATATTTTTGTAGCTTTTCAGCTTTAGCTTTTAACCAAGATTCACCTAATACAGGGATGGATACATATCTCATGTCACCTCCATGGTTGTGGCACCATGAAAAGCAGCTCAGCTGTTCTGTAGATAACAGAAATTATTTGCACTTACTGAAGAAGCTATTCACAACTACCTTCTTCACTTGACAGACTTCTGAAAACTCACCACCAACAATCATATTAATGCTGCACAATATACTTCTATAATACTTTATTTTCACAGGAAGCATTCTTTTCTCACTTATGAAACTATCCTACTTACTGTTCCATATTTTTGTATATTTTATAGCAGTAAGTAAGTATTAGGAATACAGTAAATATTAGGAATATTTTTTTATCTCTGTTTTAACATTTCTTGAGTTTTAAGTTAAATAAAACAAGGAGGGCTTATGTCATGTAACAAATTGTTCTGGATATTGACATTGGCAGGAGAAAGTAAATAATATACTGGTGCTGCCAACGTTTATTTTGTAACTGACCAGCAACATTCATCAAGTTCCAAGGACAAAACCAAAATTAAAAGTCAGTATTTCATGAAGTTTCTGGAAAGTTCCTTAGCCAATAGATACCAACATGCTTTCACTAATTTCTGATGATCTGTCTCTTCATTTTGAGGAGTATCTGAGTGTACACACAAAATCAAAAGGTGTTAAGTACTGCAAAGCTTTAGCTGTCAGGAGATACTCACTCTGCAGGCAGTCAGCATTTAGGAGGTCTTGGCACTTCTCATGGCATTTGACACCACATTCAGTACATCTCATGCCTTGCCTGGCTATGCCCCAAAGTAGACCTTCACATTCATAACAATATGTGGGAGTTGTAGCTGTCCAGACTTCAAAGTTATGAGGTGTAGTTGATGATATTGGATAGATCAAAGCCTGCAGCGTCTTCTTGAAGACATGTATTTTCTATTGGATAAATAAAAGATTTAGGTTGAAGTACTGGTTAATACGAGTGAACTGGAGCTAAAGCATATACCTTTACATTTAAAATGTTACAAAATATACATAGAAGCATGAACTAATTTGCAAAATACTAATTAACTCATTTTGCCTTGCACTTAGAAGACAAAAGAACCCTAGATGCCTGTCTAGTTGTACATCTGGCGAGCATCTTGGAATTTGTGTGGTTTGCCCATATGAGCTTTAACATCACTGTTGCCATTCTGTAGTATAGAAAGCAAGGCTGACTTGCTCAGTTAAGCATGTGTTAACACTCCCATAATTTGAATATTCCCCAGTGGTAAGTATATGAGAAATGCAAGACATTAGCCTATCTAACAACACACTGACACGTTCTTGGTTTTATGTATCTGAGTCTCGACTAAAACATGTGAGATTCTGCTAATAATAAATTGCCCCATAAAAAAAAATATTTTTTTGCACGTGCATATCTGCATAACATTGCACAGAAACATCAATTAAAGCATTTCTGCTACCATGGGAAAAAACGTATAGCCATAAATCTACTGATTTATAGGTTCAAGCACCACAAATAACAAAACCAAATGTTAAGCAGCTTAGGCTGCAGCAGCCCTTATTAAAGTTCATAGTTAAATGCTAAAAACAACATCTGTCCTGTGAAGCCTGGCAAAACAAATGCAGTCAGACTTTTCATGGACATTTTACCCTAGCACCCCTGAGAACACTGTAGAGCTGAACTAGGAAAAGAAGCTGATATAGCAGGAAAAACTAAAACAAATACAGAATTCTCTCCAGAGCGCTTTCTTAACCTACTCTAGACAATTAGCCATCTCAGAACTCCCCTGAAAGCAAGCAAAGGTTAGCACTGGTTTGATCTAGCAGAGGGACTGGGCTAATTCATGGCCACGTAACTCAGCAGACTTCATCTTTGTGCATTTCTCCACCCTCTCCCTCCCAGGTCAGAGTCTACCAGCTACAGGTGTCAGAAAGAAAACTTCAAAAACAACCTAAAGTCAAGTTATGCAGCTTGTTGAGAAATCATGTTTGTCAGAAACCACTGTCTTTGAAGATTCCTTTGCAGACTACACTCTCTCACTCCTGAACTCTAGTAGTATCAGTACAACTACTACCCTTTCACCCTGTTCAACTTCACTGGTTTTTTTCACAGTATAAATAATTTCAGAATTTTGCCTGTAACTTGTATCTATTTCTGAAATGGCACTAAGTAACAAATGGCACAGCTCTATAGGGCTTGAACTAAACATCTGAGGGTAAAAGAGGTTTTTAAGCTGAAAATTCAGTTGTTAAAGCAAACTAGAATTGTAGATACTTTTTTAAAATATTACTATCTAGGAGCTTTCATTCCTAATACTGTTCCCTGCTTAAATGCATCTGTTATTCACAGAGCTCTGGGCACGGCAGTATTTAGCACTGCTAATATAAAGGAGATTTATTTAGTTACCTGTTTATCTTCTAAAGTGAAATTTATTTCTGTCATATAAGACTACGGATACTTTTTTAATGTCAATAGTGTATTATTTTTACAGACTTGCAGCTCTCTGTTCTGCAAAGCAATTAAATGAATGCTCAGCTGAAGTCATGTGTTTAAGCATCACTGAAGTTAATACTTTGACACTTTAAAATGTCTTTGGATCAGTGCCCGAGAACCTACAAACTCACTGTATCATGAATGGGTTATACCAGAAGGATAGCAATGTCACGTGGCACAGCTCAAAGCATTTAACCTCTGGTTTTAATTTTTTGAGTAAGTAGCATTTGATTTTTAATAAAAGGCATTACCTCAAAGAATTTCCATACTGAATCTAAACAGCATTAGTGACTCTTCCGTCAGAGTCACTAATGTTCCCTCCAGAAAAAGTTGAAGGAGAATAAAAACCAAAACAGCCTTAATCAGAAGAGTAACTTGCCCAAAGGGACTTTTCTTCCTTAACTTTCATCGGTGACTGCACTTCTTCTGGTTTTGTGGAGAGTATCTGGAGAGTTCTTTTATGCCTGAAAATGCCTGCTCTTTTTGTTTTCAAATCTTGCTCTACTAAGTTTTAATAATGCCTTAGGGCATTAAGTTCTGCTGGCTACTTGCAGATCAAGAAGAAAAGTATTACCTTTCACTTGTTTTAGACGTCTTGCAAGTAGTTTTATTAGCTTTACCATTACATTTATCCTGTAGGGAAGAGTACCCACTTCCCTTTAGTATGTTTAGTGAGAGATGGCATAAAACAGGCTTTTCTTATTCACCTCTCCTTCTGAATTAGCTTTTTACTTTTTCTCAAATCAACATTTATGTATCTAAATTATATTTGTTGTCTGCCTTTGGGCTTATGTTTTTAAGAATTTCATAACAAATATCTACTTCTGGTACACAATTTTTCATTTGGCCTGGTTGAAGTGGAGGCCAAAGAGTATAATGGCATAAAAATATATTCAACTTATTTTCCCTTTCCATTTCTCCTGAACCATAGTTCAGTAGTTTCTCCTGATTGACAGCAAGCATTAGAGAAACGTTTGCTGTCCACTGGGATTTACTGCTGCCTTTTTGTATCCTGAACAGTACCACTAAAGTCAGAATGTGCAAGTACAGTTCAAATTATTCGCTTTTCCTGCATTTGTTGGCAATTTACATGGCCAACTAAACTTGCACCTTTAGCCCTCCAAAGTCATAACTTGGTAGTTTCTGCATGAGGAAAGCCATGTATATGAACATTTAAACCTGTATTTACTGTCATAAAAGGCAGTAAAGCTTATAAATGGTTTACTTGTTTGTTTAGCAGATGCCTTTTAGTAAAAGATAGGGAGTATCTTAGGGCCTTTTACTGAACTTAAATGGTTTTATAGCAGCTATAATATAAATGGAAAGTCTCTATTTTGCAGCACTTACACAGCGTAAGTTTGTTCTCTATAATTTTCCTTCAACCTTTAACTCCTTTTTCACATTCCATAGCTCTCCATTCTATCTACTTTTGTTGTTATTTTGACATAGCAGAACAAAATAACTACTGCTCCTACTGAAAGATCATTTCATATACCAGCTGCTTCCCACCTCATCAATCCATCCCTGAGCACTACCAAATTGTTCCTTTAGGATTACCATATAAGCACAGAAAGCTCACAATAAATAAGAGAAGAGGAATGGGCATGTGTGTACTTGTGTTATGTGTTTCAGCTCCCAGAATACTTGTCAACGTATTCTACTCGAACATTTTTCCACTATCGATCTTAACAACGGTGTAAGAAAAATTCAACACTTCTTTTTTTTTCCAATGTAGGATATATTCTAGATGTCAATGTTTTCACTAGCAATATAAGGAACACAAAAGGGGCCTTTACTCCTTCAAATTAGTGCTTTTGCTTAGTTTAGCCATGTAAATCTGCTTGCATCACACCAAGTACTGCTGAAGAAGATGGCATGTGTTGTGGTTTTGTTTAAAATAAATTTCATTTGCAAAAAGTGAGTGAAGTCAATAATGGAAACCGACAATACACGTGTTTTACTAGCTATGAGAATATGACTTTTCAAAAGATTCTCCTGGTCACTTCTTGTATGAATGAAATACTTCTTCATCTAGATCCCATGTGTTATTAAAAGAAGTTACAAGTACAAAATCACATAATGTCCCAGCCACCCATAAGGACTTGGGAAAAAATTAATAATCATACAGAAATCTTGCAGAGTCCTGGCATTCTAATTGTACTGAGGGTGTGATGAACAGAGAGAGATCCTGAAAGCCTGCAGGTAAAGTGTGGTGCATCTGGTCAGTTTAAAATAAACGGTTTTCCAAAGCAACTGGCTTTTTAAACAAAGTTTTTCTGATTAGTGTCTTCTAACTGTCAGCAGAAGCAAACTTGTTTCTGTCACTGTGAATCAGGCAGCAAATTCTGTTATGATACCTGAAAGCTCCTACAGAATAAACAGGATGCTTATACACTCAGTTTTATCCAGTTTGGAATGTCTAAGGCTGAAATAAGTTCTGAAGAACTTTGAACAAAAAATTTCCCTATTATTTAAATTACTTAAACCTGTCATTGAAACCACTTACCATTTCATCATTGTCTATGGAGGTCCGGATGAGCATTGCCATGGAAATGCCAGATTTTCGAGCTGCAAGGGTCTGTTTAAGGCAAAAATGCAAAACTGTTAAAAATTATACTAGTAATTTCAGTTAGTGACTCTAATGGAAGGCAAGTAGTACTTGATTATGCTATTTGATTAAAGCAAAACTGTAGGAGTTACAAAGCTTTTAATTAATGTTTTGTATCACAACGACCTTTCAGGTTTCAGTACATAATGCAAGCACACTTTTCATCATCATTACTGTTTCCTTCACCAGTGCCTAGCTTAACTGACATTCCTAATATAAAACCTGGTATTCAGAGGTTTTTGACTCATTTTTTTTAAACCGCAGGCTGTCACTGTTTTTCCGCTTTGCCAACCAAATTAATGTGGTACAAGGATAGGCATCCTGCCCTAATTTGGAACCTGTCTGTGCCTTCAGCAACATGGGAGATCATTTTGCAATAGTCTTATCATTCAAGTTGTCAGTCCAGATATTTTTTTCTTAATTCAATGCTTCTTGTCTTCAATAAAAAAGTCTGGGAAACTGAAATTTGATTTTTACCTTAAAAGACAATAGTTATTCAATACTATGAATAGCTATGTGGATAAATACTCTGGTTCTTGGAGAGAGGTAAAAAGGCTGGAACCCTGTCTCAATCCGTCCTCTTTAGTCCACATGATGTTATGGGTATTATAGGAATATTTCCCAGTTCTTAAGACTACATCCTTGGTCATAGAGAAAATGTCATTTGCTCTAGCATAGTACACGAAAAGGCAATCAAAGTATTTTTAAAATACAAATTTTATCTTCCTTAATGCAATATTCCTGTAATTAAATGGGTCCTTGAGAATTAGAGAGTATAATGATCAAAAGGAAAAAGATCCCTGTGGAAAGGAGTTCTGTGTGTTTTCCCAATAACATTTCAACTCTGATTATCACTTCTGCCATCAGCAGTCCTTCTGGCCTGACAGAGACAGGTAAGATTTATTCTACTGTACAAGATACTAACCACAACACTCCTGTATTACTGCATTTTACCTGCAAATTTGGTCTTATGCATCCTTCCCCCTATTCTAAATCATTTCAAGACTGCCTGTACACTTTTGCTTTATCTCCGTTTTCCTGTAATCCAGCATCAGTTTTGTCATGCTTGCTGCCCTCATAGTCTAGCAGTGTGAGGGGGATCAATTATACCATCCACTAACCATAAATCTGTTGTTGCCTTTGTTGTGAGGATACGGATTTTCACCTTACTGTGAAGTGGGTCTCTGTAGCCCCCCATTACAGAGCTATTACAGAAAAAGATTCAATGATATATTGCATATGACATCCTTATTTTTGTGAAATACATATCGGTTCAGAAGTAACTTAGGTTTACATGAGCAGAACCACATCATTAATCTTTGGATTAATTAATTAATTAATCTTCCAATTTTATAACAATGACATTTTAGATGTTGGTGAGTTGTTTTTTTTTTTTAAATTTATTTAGAGATATTAAGGCTGTTAATTTTAAACACTTTTCCCTGAGAACATATGCATTCAATTTTCAGTAAGTTTCCCTTGATAATAATTAAACTTGCAGATAGATACAGAAATATTAATCTTTTGAAAACAGTTATAGACTAGGAAGTCATCCTTGGCACAGAAACATTTTATTTATCACTGTCCTATTACAGTTACTATGGGATGCAAAGAACCTTCCCCCCTTTTATTTTAAACTCTGAGCAGTTTACCAAGCCTATGCCATTAATTTACTCTCAGTTTTCCCACTTTGTTATTAATAAGTAAATAATTCTGCTTCTCTGTGACTGTATTTCCTTCTATTTCTGTGAATATGAGAAATTCCATTGGCGTGCACCACTGAGATTAACAAAGTGACCAGAAAGATGAAACAGAAACTTTTTGTGACAAAACCTAATGCTACAGGACCCCCAGCTACACGCCAAAGTAGGAAATGGCAAACAAAAATGGGCCAGAAATGTTAAGAAACAAGTACTGAACAAACACAGAACAGTGTCTCTGCTTAAGGACAGAAAGAAGCAAACAGGAATGAGTATTTTGGAAAGAGGAAGAGAAAACTGCTGCCAGACTCATTTATGGGAAACAAGGATGCGGGATATGAATGTAGCAAGAAAACTTTTCTCCCTACTGACCTTCTGTTTTTAAAGAAAGAGTAGCAAGGAAGAAGGGTAAGTGCTGCTTATTACCCAGAGCCTCCAGGAAGTCCAAATTGCCAGAGCATTGAAAGAACATGGTGAGCAAAAGGAACCTGAAGCCATTCACCAATTTCCTTTAACAGGAGATGAGATTCGCTTACTCTCTCAAACTGATGTTCAGATACTACCTCATGTCTTTAGGCTTATGAGAATTTGACCTGCAGACTGTGAAGATCTCTATGTTGGCACTATTGCATCATGAACATTTGGGCCCCTCATAACAGCACAAGACTTATGGAGTAGCAGCTGTGGGAACTGGGGTTGTTTAGTCTGGAGAAGGCTCAGAAGGGACCTTACCGCTTTCTAGAACTACCTGAAAGGCAGATGGAGCAAGGAGGTGACTGGTCTCTTATCCCAAATAACAAGTGGTGGGACAAGAGGAAAGCATCTCAAGCTGTGCCAGGGGAGATACTGGATATTAGGAAAAAAGTTTTCACTGTCAGAGTGGTCAGGCATTAGAACAGGCTGCCCAGGCAAGTGGTGGAATCACTGCCCCTGAAAGTGTTAAAAACTATGTAGATGAGGCCCCTCATGACATGGTTTAGTGGTGAACTTGGCAGTCCTGGGGTAACAGTTGGACTTGATGATCTTAAAGGTCTTTTCCAGCCAAGTTGATTCTATGATAAATTTTGGAGGAGGGAATAAATAAATCAATCAACCAATCAAACCTAAAAACAATGAAAGAAGGTGCCAAAGCAGAACACCACTTGTTTGATTTTTAAATGTTTCTCCAAATCCTTGATACATGATTTAAATTAACTTAGTTTACTTTATGTTCAGGTCCTTTTAGACCCCTGCATTAACTTGTATCTACGCTGTGTTATGTATCACCTCTGAATTTGCCTTAGTAGCTTCAAAGAATAATAAAAAAATAGAAGTAATCCTAGCAAAACCACTGAAAAGTGGTAATTCCAAGTAAAAGAGAATTTGACGCAAGATACAATTAAATGTTATATAAAAAAAATTGTGTAGGTGAAAAAAAAAGAGCCTCCTGCAATGCTGAGATGAAAGAAAGCTCTCTTTTGAGCAGCAAAAGTAGCAGCGAAGAAGCAGCAGTGAGGGTAATGTTTTGCAACTGTTCATGAATGGTGGCTGTGTCATGCAATACTCACTCCTTTGTTTTTACAGAGGGTTTCAGGTTTCCCGATAATCTTTTCCTCCACTTCGTTTTTTCTTTTTTTCCCCCCTCCTTACAAGAGTCTATAGACTATTACAAGAGGGGAGTGAGTGTGTGGGGGAAGTTGAAGATAAAATATTTATTACCACTTGACAAATACTGGTTTATTTGTAATGCAATGTAAAACTTACTCATTACTGTTTATATGGAATGGGCAGTTGTTTCATCCTATGTGTTCTCTTCAAGAGTATGAACCAAGCAGACTGTTTTAGAACAGCATCAAGGAGTCACAAATTATTCTGTGTTCTTATAATCAAATGATAAAGCATAGTAATAATACATTCTTGAATGATCAAGAGAAGAAATCTGGCTGAAATAAGGACTAAAGCATAGTGAAAGAAAACCAGAGTTAGGGACCTTTGTCTATTGGCAGATCAACACCATATTTGGCCATTGTGAGTTAAGTAATTCTAACCTCCACTGTAACTATTTCTACTCCTTTGCCCAGTTGTAGTCCCACCTCAAACAATAAGCTCTAACTAGTACAAAAGACAGAATATGTTTGTTTAAAACTAGAAGTCACAGCAATTACATCAAGCGCACTCAACTCTTCTTTCTGACTCCACTTTAGATAGTCTGTTCAAACACTTCGTATTGCTATTCAAACAGCTGTATTGTTACTCCACTTGCATGATGATTTCTTCTTTCATTCTCTTTCCTTCTTATGTCAGATACATTCTATAAGAACTCTAATAACAATCCATAGTGAAATACCTGACTGCAGCAAAGAGAACTGTTCCTGTAGATGGACTTTATTGCCTTATCCTCTCTAATGACTCAATCAAAAAAAAGCATGGAAAGCAGAAATCCCAGAGCATTAATGAAAGCACTTGTCTTAGAGATTTAGGAGAAAAAGAATGAAAATAACACAACTGCTGTTGAAAACTAGATTTTTCAAAATGTGAATTTATGGAAACAAATGGGAATCAAAGATATCTTCTTAAGAAGATGTACATCATTTTGTTACACTTTATATTGAGATAGCGTGACGAAAGCATGAAAGCTAATGCAGAGAAACTGGAAGTGCAGAGAAGGACCAAAGTTGTGGAAAAAGAAATTATTTCCATGAACCATTAATATAGTTATCAGAAAAAATTACACCACAGTACCTAACAATCTTAAGTTGCTTTGGGAAATTCACCTTTTACAAGAGAGATCAAATAATTTAGTTGAAGAGGATTTAAGAGTAGGGAACACTTTCAACTTCTCTTGATCTAGGAATCTAAGGTTGTTAATTCCATAGGAGAAGCATCATGACTGGGTCCTCAACAGCCTGCTTGTATCATTAGAAAGGATATTTGGAAAATACAGATAGCCTTTTTCTAATAATTTTGGCATAAATGATGCAAAGGACAACACGTTCACATAAGGCAAAACTTCACTTAGGATTAAATTCTTGGTCATAAAGAGTATTTCTATTTTCCCCCCAAAAATGTCATCATAAAATACAACATTCATAAAATCTCTAAGTTATTGAACATTTTAGAACATTGTAAAAAGCAGTGTAAACAGTGTAAAAGCACTTACCATAGCCTGAAAAATCCAGCCAAAATAGGAAAGAAATCATAAAGAATATTAATAATTTGCCAGCTTTATTGGTAAAAAAAATAATCAGCTGATACTTATTTCAGTCAGTGTCAGAAGTAGATATTTAAAGAAAATACAGTTAAGAGCTGTACAGTAAGTCCATAATTATTAAATTCCAGAACAAATCTCAGATTTAAAATTCTGCACTTTGCACTTACTGAAGGTAGAATTCCTTCAAGAGGAGTTATCCTTCAATGACTGGATGGTAAAGCAATAATCATTGACATATTTGAGTACTAAAAATAAAGTTTCATTGCACCATTCAAAATGTAAATTTTCTTTTTAGATACACTATTATTATGGCTTTCAAAGTGAATAGTTACTATTAAGATTTTGATGTCTTAATTTGTTCTGAGCTATACCTATCTGTAAACAGTTCCAACAATTAAGAATAAAGCAAATTGCTATTTAATATGCATAAAAGCATCATAACATGGCTGTAAATTATATTTGTGCAATACAAATTACAGTAGAGTGGCTAGTGTCAAAAAGATGGATTCAATGAATGTAGACTCACTCTAGTATGTTATAAATCACAACTTTTCATTGATTTCAGAAGGAATTCTACTCCAAAATTGTTGCTGTACTCTCTTTGTGACCATTCAGATATTGTGGTATATTACTGTAGAATGACTGAACAGAAAGGCTAAGAATACACTGAGCAATAATTTGGCAAAGATTGATCTTTTAAAGACAACTGTATTAGTCATTTACTTTGGCTGACTCCCCATCATTTCTTTACAACAAGAAATGGATTGGGGGCTTGCTACCACCAGAGACTAAATATGTATTTTATTTAATTATGAATTCTACACTTTACAAGAAGAGAGGAATGTGAATGGCATTTGAAATTCTTCACACAGAGAGATTCTATTTAATGTTGTTTAGACTGGAAGTCAGAATAAATCTCAAAGGAACTGCCATTCTTTTTATTTTTCTGAAATTTATTTGTCTAAATTATTATTGTCTACAATGTCTGCTAAAATAACATACCTGGTCTGTACCAAAAGCATGCATAACTCTTTAAAATATTCATACTGAAACAGGGTTACTTTTTAAAAAGAACTTCCTTTTTCAGTATCATAATAAGTCAATCAGTATATCCCGAGCACTCAATAACAGCTGCCTTCACACAAAGCTTCACACAGCTAATTCAACACAAAAATGAGTAGTTTATTACTACAGGAAATTCACATTACTTGAATCCACAAGTAATATCTAAATACTACATGACATATTCAGACTTACCTAGTACATTATAACAACTGCTCTCAACATTATAAAAACTGCTCTTTACTCCCTCCATCCATTCGCTCAAGATACCTTTTTTCCACAAACCAGTTGTTGACAAACTATAATTCGCATGCACAATAGTAATTATAAGAAAGATCTAGACAACTGGAAATAAATCAGGTTTCATAGCCTCAGAAGTTACTTACCACATCACGAACAATGGGAAAAGATTTCTTTCTGCGTAGGTCTGGCATGCTATCAATTCCATACAGCCCACGGCCAACACTGTAGGAGTTGAAAAGGCAGAGATGAAAATAAAAATCTGAGGCTTTCAAGTTTGCATCCTAAGAACTACTTATAATATCTGTATTTACAGTTAAAGCCCAAAATTAACAGTTATCAGCTAAAGAAAGTATTCTAATCCTCATGAAAAATTAATGAGAGTGTTCTTAGCGTGGCTTTTTCTCCTCGCATTCACTTAGAACAAAGTGTAGCTGAAAGTTCACTTAAATACCTCCTAAAGCTTTGTACCATGGATTCAAGAGTTGTAACAGTAGCTTTCCATCAAAAGGACTTGTATATCTGGTAGTTAAGATGGAGGCCAACACTGTGCAGGATCTCTTTGTCATACATTTGATACCAATAGCAAAATATCTAACTAAATATATAATACCACCCTCTCACGAGTCCTTGTGATTATGGAAAACAGAACTTGTCACATTTTAAGATAACTCCATGGAGATCATCATTATTTTCTCTTGCCTGGTTTACCTTTTTCTTTAAGCACACATTTAAACCACATACTAGATCTGGTATACAATGTGAAAACAGCAAAGAACAACTTGGAGCCACTTCAAAGAATAAAAGGCTGACACACTGATATGATTTAAAAGAATACACACTCATCCAGTATTCTCCCTGACTCTTCAGAACAGGTAAGACAGGTAGTATCCTCCTGAATTTTTTCCAGAGTGAATGTTGCAAAATTACAAGGTATTGTCAGATCTGTAATTCAGAAATATTTAGAGATTCTCAGAGAAGAGGGGATACGATATTTTTCAAGATCCAACATACTCCCCTCCATGCTCCTTCTGTTTGACATTGTCTCAAATATCGTTTTCAGCTGCTTTTACATTTTTATTTCTCTGCTTCTGTGTATAACAAAAGTACATGTTACAATAAACAGTGTATTTATAGAAATCACAACTATTGGGTGAAAAGAGATTTAACTGAAATTAGTGACAGAATTTTCACTTCCTTTTGAAGGGTCAGTACTTTGTCCCAAATACTCTTTTGCTGACCTGATGATTAAAATCTGCTGCCATTAGTAGAGTTAAGAAATTCCGTATTTATTTAAGCCAGGACTCTGGATGACAATTCCTGTTGGATACAGAAGTTACAGTTCCACAGCTGCAGCTAAATCCAGAAGGAATTATGAATCAGAGACCTCAGTTGCCATGATTTACAGCCTGGCATACCAATATAAACTGAAATCAGTGCTGTGTTATGCTAATATGCCAGACTGTAAGCAGTTCAGGGACACACATAGCCTTCTACTCCAATACCTCCACTTCTAATACCTTCAAGATGAATCAACTCAAGCCAAGAGAACTCATAAATCACAATCCAAATTATTTAAGAGAAGTGAAATACATTAACGAGCATTACATAAAAGGACACCAACTCTGGCTTAAGCAATTGTTGAATTGCAAACTATTAGAAGACTAGAAAGCGAGGAGAGTATCCTAAGGAAATACCATCTTATCCCATGCATACACTTTTCTGACAATTTCTAGGTATCTGCTTCTGGCCACCACCAGGAGAAGAGGGATTCTGGGCTAGCTGGACCTTTGGCAAGACTCTGTCACTGGGGTTTGTTTTGATTTTCGGTTGGTTTGTTGTTATTGTTGGGGGGTTTTGTTTGCTTTGTTTTTAAGGCAGTCTACAATATTTTTTTCCTCTCTCACTTGGAACTTGGAATAAAATTGAGCTCTATTTGGTCCCCTTTCTATTCCACAGGCATGAACAAGAAATGGACACAGCAATAGACTGCCACTATTTATTTCCATGCTTTACTTTCAATAGATGCAGAGGAACAGACTTATTTTCTTAGAATGTGTTTGACAGGGAACTTGAAAATTTCAGCTTTGGTGAAGCTTAACTGAAAATCGGAGAAGATGAAAGTAAAATGACATAATAGATTCTATACTGTCGGGGGTATTTGTTCACCTTCTGTTCAATAATTCCCATACTTTGAAGTTCTACTACTCAAATAAAAGCTCAGTGCATGTATGATACACCATCCCTGAAATACTGTAACTTCCTGTAATGTGAACAAACTGGCTAAGGCAGCAGCAAGAAGTTTTTCCCTACAGTTGAACAATTCTGCGTCACAGTCTTCAGTAAGAAAATAATAATGAAAATGAAGAGGTCACTCAGTATCAAACAGACATTTTATGTCATTGGGACACTTAATTTTCTTAAAGTTCTTAGGATTATATAATATTTCAGATTAGATGAGTCTGGTTTATAATATAATTAAATTTATGTAGTCAAATGTGATACATAAAACATCTAAGCATCTTTAATAACACAAAATGCTGGTCTGATCTCATCAAAATTGAAATGAGTTTTTTGAAGACTGAACCAGGGGTATAGAGGGGAAGAAGAAAAATATTGTTGCTGAATACTATAATCACAAAATGTAGCCAGTAGCTTTTGTGAAAACATAAAAATGGCACGATGCAAGTTAATGAAAATAATTATGAGGCAGCCACACTGTCTGAAGATCCACAAATCCACACTTGGGTGGCAATAAATGATTTTTGCTGGAGTAGAAAACTGACATGGGAGAAAATACCAGCATTACAGAAGTAATTACAGGAGGGAATTTATAACTTACCCTGGTCCTTAGTATATTAAAATGCCACCAAAGAAATACCTAGCACTTTCTCTGAAAATGAAAGTTGGATTAGAAGTGTCTTAATGTGAACTAAAAATACCATGTTATAAGAAAAAAAATAAAAAGAGCCAAATCTCACCACGGAAGCAAACCTGTTATCCTGGCCAATGCAAGAAGCTGGGGTAGACTAAGCTATATTAAAGGACTATATCCACTCAAATTTGACAGACCGTGTACTCAAATGACTACGCATATTAATGTCATGAAAATTTTGAAGTTATGCTTCTCATTCATATTTATACAGGAAGGATATAAATTAATCACACATTTGGATATATAGTCAGCTGTTCATTCTAGCTGAGGCAGCAAAATAGACTTTGTGACTAAAGCTATGAGCCTCCTTCTGCCTTCTGATCAGAAATCTGTTGCATGCTTCATCCCCAGATGCAAGCCAAAGCAGACCAACAGATATTATAAATTGTGCTAAGAGGCCTCTGGGGCCATATCTGCTTTTAGAAAAAATAAAGTTGCTTGCAAAGAATTTCTGACCTAATTTCTTTTTCCCATCATGCTTCTTGTCACATTACAGGGAGCTGATGCCAGCCAACTTTATTCTAGCCTCAGGCAATGTGGCCTCAAAGTGCCACCATTTCAGCTTGTAAAACTTGCCTTTTATTTTTTTCAATATTTTGAAAAACTAAGCAAAACACCCCTCCCCCCCCAAAAAAAAATAACAACTCCTAAAACACTATCATGACTTCCTAAGGGACAAACTGAAAAATAAAAAAAAGTTGTTAAAACCAAGTACCAGCAAAACAGCATTAAAACTACATTTGATAATATTCTTGATCCTTACACCAGAGGAAATCAGCAGTAACACTTATGAAGACAGAGTATTCACAGTGCTGCAGAAATTGTCTAGAAGGCAGATCTGGTCTCAATATTTATAGGGAGGAGAAAAATCTGAACATCCTTCTCAAAATTAACACTCCCCTATCATAACTGTTGCAATACCATAAAACCAAAGACTCAGTTTGAATTCCTCCTACTACCCTTGAAATCTGTGTAAAGGGCTTCCTTAGTATCAATATGGCCATAATGAAAGAAACCAACATGGGGAAAAAAGAATCCAATTTGCATAAAGCCTGTGAGAATTTATAAGGTGGAGATAGGAAGCTGTACATGACAAATTCATTTGCAAAACCAGGATGGAGACTTTCCTAGAACCAGGGGAGGTAATAACACGCTGCATTTAGTTTATCTCTGACAACATGCATCTCTGGTTGTCATTATCATAGGATCGTAAGATCTAATTAAAATAAGAATATAAACCTCCTGGAGCAGAAAGAGGTAAAACCCATCAAAAGCAATACTGAAACATCAGTGGCACCCTAATGAAGGTGGTGAGAAATTACCTTACAAATTAAAACCCAAACCCACCACAAAGCCTTTTAATTTCTCTTTTAAATCCAGATATTTATGTAGCTGTCAACTTCCATCATGCTGTATCATCATGGAATCATGGCCAATCAGCTTTGCTAGATTTCCACCTCTGGCTAATTTCTGCAGACACGGTATCACATGGATTTAGAAATACATCTACAGGAACACATAACTGACTGTTCCCAGCTTATACATAAGTCTGGGAAGCATCCACATTAAAAATTCTTCAATGACAGCAAAGACAATTTATTTAATCCTCCAAATGCTGGATCAGAACATATGTATTAAGACACTTAAACATAAATCAAGGAGAGTTAAGTCAACATAAAAAGGCAGAAAACACTGGATCTGGGAGGCTGAGAGTTCCTTATGGGTGTAGATGACAACTAGAGCATACTTCACCTGATAGTTAAGAGGAAGGATGAAATGGAAGAAGTATAGAAATCAGCAAAAGAGACAGCAGATCTGAAACAGGAACAAAAACTTGAAAACTAAGAGGATGACTTTAATTGGTCTTGGTAGTAGCTAATAAGCAGGTGAAAAGATTGAACCTCTCAGAACTAACCTATGCACATCATTCTGACTTGTAAAATTTCCATCAGGGACTCTTGAAAAGCTGAACAAGGAGTAAGCAGTTCTACTAACTTCAAGTTACTGATGAAATTTGACAGATAAACAAGGAAAGATAATAATCTTGTTCAAACCATTTGTGTACTTTTTTGAAAGTTTTCAGGATTTTCATCCAATTCTTCTAATGCATCAAGTCCATATTAAATTCTCCCCCCACCCCCCAAAAATTTGCCAAATTGCCTCTTGGCCATACTAAAACCCTCAAATTCATCCATGTTTCTGTTGAGTTCCTTACAGTTACAAGAGGAAAAAAAAAAAAAAAAAATTTAATCCTTTTCCTATCTTAGTTGAGTGGGTAAAGCACTTACTT